CTGTAATTTTCCCGCAAACTGTTTATACAATTATTGCATATGTTTACTTATATATGCATATATTTATGAATTCGTCTAAAATATAATTACATATTTGCATATATAATCTTATCTTGACAATAAAATGTGACGTTGTTACATGTTGAATTGAACACTGCAATATAATTCGAAACATTAATTATAGTGGATCACAACATCTCTGAATTTATTTAGGACACAAATATTTCTAGGATACCTTAAATGTTCATTTAATTCTCATATGGACTCGATTAAATTGTGTTTGAGTTAATTATAAATGATGGTTTATTTTATCATTTATAATTTCATTTAAATTTTCAAATATTTTATCAAAATACTAGTTTTCAGGATGCAACCAATTAAATTATTCGGACAAAATAGTTTTGTGGCAGAGGAATAAATGTTGGTTCGGACAGGTTGGAGAGTAACCTGTTTGTAAGCATATATAGCAGCAATTGCATGGTTTTACAAATACTAGTATAATTTTATTTATTTTTATTTATTGACATCAGAATTCATCAATTCACAACAAGTACTATAATGTTTTTGAATAACACAATGATCCCTTAAATTAAGGGTAACTATATAAATAAAGGACCACTTTTCATTTATTCCCCCCAACTTCCCTAATCTCTGTCACATTCCTTTCACTTACCAGTTGCCGTCCATCCTCACGTTATCTCGTTTGCATCTTCCGTCCATTATTTATTGTTCCTACAAGGTGGCAACAATAAATATTAATACTATAACTTTTTTAATTTTTATTTGTACTTATGGTATTTATAAAAAGGGTAAATTTCGCTTTCCCTTGTACTTTGGTTCGATACCATTTTACCCCGTCTACTCTTAATTGTATCGATTTGTCCCTTGTACTTGAAAAATTGTCTTAATGTGGCCCTCGTTGTTATTTGTTAGACATTTAACTTTAACACCGTTTGATCTAAGCTTGAAATTACAAAAACATCACCCCTCACAGTTTAAAATAATTATTAAAAAACAAAATAGAAAAAAAAATAATAAAAAATTCAAGATAACGAGAAAGCACAGTCCGCGACGGCAGCCACAATTTATTTTTAATTTTTTTAAATTTTTACTTTTTTTTAATAATTATTTAAACTAGGAGGGGTGGTTTTTTTTGTAACTTTCAAACTTAGATCAAACATTGTTAATGTCAAATGTCTAAAAACTGACGGCGAGGGCCAGATTGAGACAATTTTTCAAGTACATGATGTCAAAATCGATGCAATTGAGAGTATAAGAGTATATAGTAATATCGAGGCAAAGTACAAGAGGGAAAGTGAAATTTACCCTTATAAAAATAATACATTTATACATAACTTGTCAAAAATGGAGACAAGTGACTTCAAATTTTTTTAAAGGGACTAGTTATTAGTATCTAGGGTAAATTACAACTGCTCTATGCAGTAAGGTTTGTTTATGAGAAAAAATCCCTTATAGGGGATGAATGTAAGAAATTTACAATTTTTAAGGAGTTGGTTGTAATTGCTTAAAAAATAAGTTTTTTTTTTTGTTTTTTAAACTTGATGTTAGGGAGATGTTGTAATTTAAATCATTTAACTAGTAATAGTTTGATACACATACACTATTTTATAAAAAGAGAATTAACAATTAATAAAGGACTTTGAATATTTCTCTACATGTACTTTTGATACGGCAATGCAGTCCAATGTAATAAATAATGGGCCAACCCTCATTTAAGTGGATCTGATCATAAAGATTTTGCAAGTTTTTTAACATAAACAAATTGTTATTTGAAATCTAACACACGGCCCACTCTTGTTCACATCAATTAGACCATTAATCATCTCTCAAGAAAATATCTTTTGTTTTGTCAAAGTTTTCTTATAATTACCTCACAATTCAACACACCAAACTAGTTCATAATCTTTGTGGATATGGTTCGATTCCACGTCCCGTCTTTCAATTCCTCTCTAGCATTCTTAATTCGTAGCGGGGCACTACCTTGATCATAAAAAGTCGTTAGAGCGTTGGAGTTTGCTCCCCGCGAAATCCCTTCGGCGCTCAAGTCAGCTCTATATTATAGAAGAATTCAAGAAAGAAAAATCTGGAGTTATGAGTTGTTAATTTTTTCGAGTATTTATATCAAAAATATATTTTCATGGGTTTAAGTCAATTAACTGGATCAAGTTGAGTCTGATTCTTTATATTTTATGGACTTAAGCCTTGAATTAATTTTGTGAATAGTTGTGTAATAATTTAGGCAAAAAAGTTGCCTAGGATGTTACATTTTGGGGTGACCAAAAAGTGACCTATATTGACCACTATAAAATAATGAAAATTATAGTCACAATGCAGATATCATCAAAAGACCCGTACTTGTTTTGCTTCTCAAAGCAACCTGTTTTTTTTTTTTTTTTTTTTTTTAATTTAACTTAAATGACAAATTAACAAGCTTGCTATAAAAGAATAAAATAAAAATAAAATAAACTATGAATCTTGTTGTAACTATTTTGGTTTGAGAAAATGAAGTATGACCCAAATTTACCTTTTTCAGTCTTTTGTCAAATTCAGTAAAGTTCATCAGCTAAAAAATCCCCATTAAATGAAACAGAAATTTATTTCTTTAATTAATTATTTATGATATATAATTATATACAGTAGAACCTCGATAAATTAATACGCGATAAATTAATAATCTCGCTTAAATAATAAATTTTTCCGGTCCCGACTCGGGGACAACGTGATAAATTAATAATTCGCTAAATTTATAAGATAATACACATTCGAAAATTTTAAGAAGCCCCATATAATATATAAATTAATAATGCATAAAAATAATTTTTAAATTACAAGGTACATTACATATTTTATAGATCTATGAAGGCTTAATACAATACAATTTAATTGTCGCTTATTTCTTATTGAAGTTCACATTATCATCAATCCCGTCCCTCACTTTTCTTAACAAGGTTAGAACTTTCAGTATAGTTTTGTCATAACTCAACATAAAATCGTTTTATACCATTGTTGCTTTAAGAGCGTCCGTTTGTGAAACGGGCTCTTTAGCGCATTGAACTAATGATACAATGAATAATATACATGTAAAAAAATTAAAAAAAAATACATTTATTGACAATAATAATAAAAGTAATTTCATAAATTAATAATTTATTAATTAATGTATAAATTAATAATTATTAATTTATCGATAAGTTAATATTTCGCTAAATTAATGAAATTTTGATAGTCCTAACTGTATTAATTTATAGAGGTTTAACTGTATATGGAGTAATAAAACAATAGCTCGAAATATTATTGAAATACAAAATTGTTCCTCGTTGCTATAAATGATACACGTCATTACAATAACTACATGGCTTATGGAATCTTGATAGTCTACCACGCAAATGTATCATTAAATGTTGATTGTTTCGATTTAGACATAAATGATAAATTTATATTATTAATTATTAATTATGAAAAGTAATTAGTACACATATTTATTAATATATGTAGAGAGGAAATTAAATACATTTGAATGAATAATAGAAGAAAGAGAACATGTCCTATGAAAAGGGCAATCGCAGCAATAGAATCAAATAGGGGGTTCAAACATCAACCTCACCACTTAATTTAGGTCTTCATTTTTTTCTTCTATTTTTCATTTCCTTTTCATATTTGCAGTAAATATCTTCACCATAAATCATTTTAAATTTTTAATGATTAAATCATGGTATATATATATATATATATATATTTATAATTTTTTTTACCACATTAATTAAATGAAAAGGCAAATGTGTAAAATGGAGGAAGAAACGTTGGTTAATAGTCACATTCATTTTGCTCAGGCCCCTTATTCTGAAAGTGATTTATCAGCAATTAAATTTACCTAAATTAAATAAATAGTTATACTCAGTCTAAGATAGTCTAATTTCCCGTGAATCTACTACAGAAGAAATGATTTCCAATTCGTATTTTTATGTCATTATTATTGCATGCGAACATGACGACAATATGACGTCATCCATATATTTTGTACATATTGATAGTAAAATAAATAATAATAATGTTCTTGGTCAAAATAATATATACCTGGCCTGGTCACTCCAACATCTGCAACACCTATTTTTACTCCCTCATAATTGCAAGAAAACACCACATGTTACTAATAAATATCAAATGAGTTTTTGATAAATCAAATTTTATTGAAACAATTTGTTAAAACTAAATTGAAATATAATTTTATCTTTTATTAATCCCACTTTGCACCCTTGAAATATACCATTTTGGCATTTTGCATCCTAAAAAAAAATTAATAGCACTTTGCACCCACAAAACACAATAAATCTTGCATAATGCACCACAAATGAATTTTTAAGGCTAAAAAATATAATATAATATTGTTAGTGATATTTTTTTAGAATGCCAAATTTCAAATATTTTTTTTATTCATCAATCATTTCGAAACTATAAAGTGCAAACATTTCATCAACATATTTAAAAAATATATATTTTTATTATCAAAATAAAATATTTTACGAAAAAAATCATTCAGCTATTCTGTTATCAAGTTATCTGAAAATCATATTCCAAATATTTTCTACTAGTTACAATAAAAGATCCAATAATCGAATAATTTAGTGATAAAAACTTATTTTATTTAAGAAACTATAGTTTTTTGTAAATAATCCGGTGTAATTTTTATTTTTTCGCACTTTGTCCGGTCGAAATTAGGTTGGAGGTTGAAGAAAATAACAATTTATTTTTTTATTTTGCAGCCCGAAAAAAAAAAACACCGATAAAAAATGAAATTGCTTTATTACTCAATTCAGGGTGTATTATGAATGATTTATTTTATTTTGAGGGTACAAAATGCTATTATTATTTTTTGAGGGTGCAAAGTGCCAAAATCGTATATTTTAAGAGTGCAAAGTGGGATTAAGGCAAGTATTCATTTGCATATCAATTCAAGTGCCTTAAAAAAAAGAATTGGAACGCCAAAACACAGTACTTTCTACAGTCGTATATTTATTCAGAGAGTAAAACCCCTTTATATACAGTTAACAGAGACAGTGATCCATGTAGTAAGAGGGGCTGAATTTCAAGTGGGGGTGGGGGGGAAAGAACTCAAAAAGGGGAACCATGGTTGCCGGCAAGGTTAAATCAGCAATCGGTCTGCAGCACAAATCACCAGCCAACAACACTAAACAAAAGCCTGACACCACCTCAAAACCCCCTTCGTCAACCACGCCAAGTTCGGCGAAGCAGCAGCAAACACAGAAGGGATCCGGCGCCGCCTTCTCACGCTCCTTCGGCGTTTACTTCCCACGCTCCTCCGCTCAGGTTCAGCCCCGCCCTCCTGACATCTCCGAGCTCCTCCGCCTTGTTGACGAACTCCGTGACAGCGAGTCGCGGCTGAAGACCGAGTTGTTGGAGCAGAAACTGCTCAAGGAGTCCGTCGCCATTGTTCCTATTTTGGAGAACGTGATCTCCAACAAGGATTCAGAAATTGAACGCTCCAGAATGAAGATCGGGTGTTTGGAAACCGAGAACGAGAGGCTCAGAAACGAGAACGAGTATCTGCATATGGAACTGTCGAAACAGAACCACAAGTATGAAGAGAAAATCAAACACATGCAGGCGGAGTTATCCGATATCAAAAGAGCTGTTGCAGAGAGTGAACAGGAGCACGAAGACGCGGCGTCTTCGTCTTCGTCTTCATCGTCCACGACTGCCAAACTCGTTGATGCAGCAAATAATTGCAAATCTAGTGTCGCAGCCAAGTGTTTGAGAAAATGCCTGACCCAAAATTTTAGTATTACGGAAACCGGAATGAGTGTAAACAAAGACGAATTCGTTGGTGTAGTCGAGAGCACCGAAAGGCCTAGGCATTCATGGTGTAACTTTGAAGAAATTCAAGAAACTTCTGATAGTTTAATGGGTGTGAAATCCCGTGCGCCGCGTGTTCCTAAGCCGCCGCCGCGGCCATCGGCGTCGCTTCTGTCATCGCTTTCGGCATCTTCAAAGTACTTGTCATCCTCTGTTTCATCCCCTTCTTACGGCTCTTTTTCCGATTCAGCGTACCGCGCTTTGGCGGAGATTTCCAATATTCCTCCGCCCCCGCCACCGCCTCCACCCCCGCGAGTTAAACCCGCTGCTCCCCCTCCTCCTCCTCCGCCCCCTCCGCGTAAGTCTAAAACAACTACCCCTCCTCCTCCGCCACCGCCGCCTCCTCCACCTCTCAAGGGGCTGAAGCCAATGTCGGCGAAGGTTACAAGAGTCCCGGAGGTGGTTGAGTTTTACCACTCTCTAATGCGGAGGGATTCAAATGGCCGGAAGGAATCCGGCGGTGGCGGCGCCGCCGATCTGCCGGGAACCGGTACGACGGCGAAGGATATGATAGGTGAAATCGAGAATCGGTCTGCACATTTACTAGCTGTAAGTTTTGTGTTTCCTGTTTACCCATGGTCCATGGGGTTATTTACCGCTATTGCCACTAAAACTTTGTGCTTCTCTGTCACTGACGTTGACCGTTCCCCGGTGTCCTTTATTGTGCTTTTCTTTTCTGAAATTTCGCTAGGTTACTTACAGGACAAGACATGATTTAGATTCTGAAATCAAAATTGGTAGTGCCAAAAGTGATAAAATTGATTGATACCACGTGGGCCTTTTTTCAGTTTATTCCCAATTGCTGTTTGATTAGGACAATTTGAACACCTCCGTGTGAAAAAATGTTTTGTTGATTTTCAGGAAATTAATTGTACTCTGATTTTGATTGTCTAATTACAGATTAAAACAGATGTAGAGACTCAAGGAGATCTCATTAGATTCTTGATTAGAGAAGTCGAGGAAGCTGCATTCACAGATATTGAGGATGTTGTGCCGTTCGTCAAATGGCTCGATGATGAACTCTCTTACCTGGTACCGGGTTTTTTTTTTTTTTGCTTCCCAATAATCGTTATTTTATCGTTTTTAATGATGTATTGATGGTAATTTTATTTTATTTTTGTGATTATTATAAAGGTTGATGAGAGGGCGGTTTTGAAGCATTTTAATTGGCCAGAAAAGAAGGCAGATGCGTTGAGAGAAGCTGCGTTCGGGTATTGTGATTTAAAAAAGCTGGAAACTGAAGTCTCGTCGTTTCGTGATGATCCTAGGCAACCTTGTGGTCATGCTCTCAAGAAAATGCAGTCTCTATTTGAGAAGTACGATTTTTTCTGTATTGTCATTTATAAATTAGTCAATTGTTAAACAATTTTTTTGCTTCCGTTTTCGAATTAAAATGCCTCCTTTTTTGGTGCAGGTTGGAGCCTGGTATGTATAATTTGTCGAGAATGAAAGAATCAGCTACAGAGAAATACAAAGGCTTTCGCATTCCAGTTAATTGGATGTTAGATACAGGCTACGCAAGTCAGGTAAATCTCATCCTCGTAAATCATAATATTTGCATCTATTCTATGAGTTTGTTGACGGTCTAGTGGCAAGCAAAATATTAAGATGGGGATTTTGTTAGATTCAAATAGATTTATTCGAATATATAAGTAGACTTGATTGGCGGCCTTGTGGTATATAATAATCCGGCATGCTACATCGAAGAATTCCACAGTTCACACGGGATTTCATACCCATATTATAAAATACATAAAGTTTATGAATCAGTCGTATCTAACTATTAATAGAAAAATAATAGACATTAAAGCTTCCGTTTGTTGATCCTTTATCTTCTCTGATTTACGTTTAACAAGAGTCCACATATTTTTCTTCAATTAGCCTGATATTTGAAGTTAATTGTTCACTAATCTCTTTTAGGGGAAAACTTACAATTTATACATTAAACTTTATATATCATTTTTTGCATTGTGGTCCCTGAAGATTTATATATACAACTGGAATCTTATGGGGAAGCATGCCATATTACAATTAAAGTTTGGTAGATGACAAAAGAGCTAGAGTGAGGTTTGCCTTATTTTGTTATACCCAACCACTCTTCATGCAAACATGTGCAATTCTCCGATTTCTATGATGCACCATATTTTTTGATTTAATTTTTTATGTTATATACCTAGTCAAAGTGAGAATTAAATTTGTAACTGGGTTGACTTTAGGTTCGATTTCTATGTCGACTTGTGCTTTCCTTGCTGTTTCGGTATGCTATACACTGAGATATAAACTTATTATTTAATGATGGTTAAGCATCTGCTTTAATTGCCAGATTCGAATAGATTAATGTGAACAAGATTCCTTACTTTTGTCTGGATATATTCTCAACCTGTGTAATCTTTAACCTTTTTAGTTATTAAATAAGGTAGTGTAACTGTGAACTGTAGGGAGTGGGTATCGCAACTTGACTTCATGAGATTGAGTTAATCCCCGTTTGTTCTTAATTAATCAATGAAATTCGTTTTTAGAAACTTAAATAACCACACAAACATTTTGGTGCAGATTAAATTGGCGTCCGTGAAATTGGCGATGAAGTACATGAAGAGAGTGTTGACAGAGCTTAAAATGGTGGGTGGTGGTGGTTCGGAAGAAGAAGATCTTATAGTTCAAGGTGTCAAGTTTGCTTTCCGAGTGCATCAGGTGAATGAATACATCTTAAAAAAAAACAATTATTTATAGAAATTTTGTTAATCTTATATTGAAAATTAATCACGAGTTTTGATTTGGATTTGTTTGTCAGTTTGCGGGTGGATTCGATATCGAAACAATGAGAGCTTTTCAAGAGTTGAGAGAGAAAGCTCGGTCGTGCAATGTGCAATGCCAAAACCAAAATCAACAGAGGTTTATTTGCAAGACTTAAAAACTGCAGCAAACCTCAGCCTTCTGAAAACGCCTAGCTCTTTTCGTCGTTTGAAAAGTAAAACAAGATAATAGATAACGAAATGTGAATAGTGATTTTTGAGTTAATTTATTTGTTGTACAAGTTTAAAGAACTTGAATATTATAACAATGGTGATTTGAATTTTGAAGCTCAAGTATTTATTTGGGCAATTTTCTTTCGAAGGATGAAATCAATCGGAAATTCGGAATGTATCCACTCCTTCTCCGGTTACATATACGGTTCAGTCCCCAGTAGTATACTTTCAACAATTAAACTGATTCCGGAGCCAGAGGAGGCCATACATATATTAAAAAAAAATACTAAGTTACAGACTACAAGAAATCTTTCATTTTTATATATTTATTTTATTTATTATTATTTTTTAATTTTTATTTATGTTAAAAAAAAGAAAAATGGTCCAGGAAGAAAATAAGGCCGCTTGAATTCAGAAAGTAAAGCCCAATAAGTAGCCCATGCATATTATTTAAAACGTGAACATCTAGTCATCGTGACGTCATCAAGTAAAAATCTAAGCGGAGAATTCGAGCTTAATGACTGCTCTTTCCAACTCCGGAGCGTTGGCGACGAACCCCCAAATTCTCTCTTCTCCACCCAATTTCCGGCCGTACAATTTCATCATTAAACTTTCATTTCCACCACTTCGCGCGATTAATCAAATCGGAATTGTTTCACGCCGATTTACAGCGGTAGCCGCATCTCCAATGGCGAGTGAAGAGAGTTCAGTACTCAAAGCAGCTGATTCCGTGCCCGATTCTTCAATCAAGCTCTTGTTTGTTGAAATGGGCGTCGGCTACGATCAACACGGGTTTCTCTTCCTCCTCTCTCTCTCTACCTTTCTCTCTCATGATTTATATCACGTAATTTGATTTCAAATTGAAAAAAAAACAGGCAGGATATTACATCTGCAGCAATGCGGGCTTGTAGGGATGCCATTTCCTCAAACTCTATTCCCGCTTTCAGAAGAGGTCAATTTTAATTTTTTTTAATTTTTTTTTGCCAGTTACTGAATTTGGATATTTCATCAGTTTTCAGAATAATTTTGGTAATTGCTTACAAATTGTTTATGCGAAGCTTCCTATGATTTTACTCTCATGCCTGCAATACGCCTAAAAGTATCTCAAGTAGATAAAATGTGTAAATCGACTCAAATTTCATTTGCCTTTTGAAGTTGTATTTCTCGACTTGGTTTACTTTGAGGTATTGCACTTTAGTCACAATCACAAGTCGAGTTACAGACACGATTATAACTATGCTATACTTATTTACCCTATATAGGTGTTAATCTGCATCATCGTTATTATCTACCGTATGCCATCGTGTTAAGCATTTTCCTGCAGTTAGGAAATGTTGTTCGTTTTCTTATTTGTTAGTGTTACTATTAATTGTTTCTTGTTCGTGCATCGTTCAGGGTCGATACCTGGCGTTTCATTTGGTGAGATGAAACTACAGATTAAATTGGGAATTCCTCGACCGCTCCAGCATTTGTTGGATATTGAGAAGGTCAAGTCAGTTTTCCCTTAGTAAGTAACTGCACTTTGTCATTTGTGAGGCTTTTTTTTTTTTTTAATAACTGCCATTTTGTTCTAATCATCTATACTATGTTAGTGGAACAATATCGAATGTTGAGATCGTGGATGGTGGGCTGATATGCTCGAGTGGCGTGCATGTTGAAGAAATGGGAGATAAGAACGATGACTGTTACATTGTAAATGCAGCTGTCTATGTTGGTTATTAAAGCTTCGATGGCAATCAGACTCATAAGGTTGGCTTCTCTTCCTTCTTGTACCTCTCTTCAAATAACATGTTCAAAGATGGATCGTTTCTAATTTACGTGTAATATTACGATTTGATGATTTATCTTTCTCTTAGAAATTGCTGCTCTCATCTATTTCAATATAGATCTACGATGACAGATAACTAGATTATATTTTTGTCGTCGTGGTTCACATTTAGTTCTATGTTGACCTGCGTTGTTTACCAAGTCATAGGGAAGAAACTCGATTTCATGCTTAGACACCATAAACAAAGAAAATCCTGTTCTTGCATGCAATATGTGAATATATTACAGTTGAATCATCCTTCGTCACCCCCCTTATTTTGCTACCTCAAACAAATCAAACGTGGTTTCTGAGTATATCCCCACAAATCTAATAAACCCACTCTACAAACAAAATGACAGAATTATAGACAACAAAGACGAAATACAATCTTGCTATAGATCACATTACAAGAGCTGCATATAGGAGCTGGTTCCATGTATCCGGCAATCCAGGTAGGCACCAATGGCTACAATCCACCCCCGAATGATCACCGCTATAAGCAGACGGATGAGCATCTTTTCTTAACTGAGACAGAGTCGTAATATCCAGCAGAAAAACAGGTTTCTTAATCCTGTTTATTACTCTGCTAACAACCTCGACCTCAGGTGGTACCCCGCCTGGATATGTAGATCCTGTCAAAGGTAGTTGTTCCCCGTTACAGTTCTTTGATGATGATGCTGACTGCCAATCCCTACCCCTGTTTTAAGATATATTATTAGCTTTCTTGATTTTGTGTAAGCCTGTAAAATTCGATTATAGGGTACGTAGGATTTCTTACTGATAATGAGTAGGAGAAATCCCCTGGAAGAAAACCTTGGTTTTGGCTGGGTCGATATTAAGGTCAACCCATCGGGCCCACGTGGTCAAACCTTTGTAGAATGCCATTAGACGATTCATGTCTTTAGATATAGTGGAGCCATCTTGTATGTAGTCCCATCTGCAATAATAAGAAATACAAATAGGGGGCTTCGATTAATCACAGTTTGCAAATGTATTAACGTTTTACATACGAGTGTTTTTAGGGTCATACGATTGGGCGTTTCCTTTGTGGGTCCACCAATGCCATGTGTTGAATATGAGCATGTCCATTCCTTTCCATGCATTGCCTTGTTGAATCGAGTCCAGCTTCAGTACTCTCCCTATTTTCTCTCGGGTTATGTCCACTAAATACGGTGATCGGTATAGCAGTAGGCTTACTCCGTAATCCTGTATTTTTTGAATATTCAAGAATGATCATTATATGTATATATAATGAAACATTTTTGGAATATATACCTTAGTTTTAATTGATCTAAAATTTTTTAATTATTATTATTTTCATGTTGAATTTTTCTATTTTCAAGAAGTAGAAGCTGGGGATATTTTCCAAATATCATATGAGAATGATGGATTACGAAAATAACCCTTTCTTAATTTTCACACCAAATTGGGTGAAGAATTAATTAAGCTAATTAAACATTCTTCTGCCCACCAATTTGTCGGCAATAGTTTGAGTAGCATTAGAGTATGATTATATATGTGTCTGGCCGTCTGGGTAGTTCAGCCCTTGTCCCCACTAGAAAAACTAATGATGAATATGCATATTAATATTAATACTATATTTAATTTTACTATTAATTGTGAAACGTCGCTAGAAGCATCCTATGCCAAAAGTAGAACATAATCTCTGCTCAAATTCAATTACTCTCTAATCAAATCAGCTTCACTAATGACAGACAACTACTAATCATGTCTGTGTATCCAAACCAAAAACCTTAATCTTTACTTCTTTAATGAATTCGCCGACATAAAAATTAAATTAAAATTAGGGTAATAATAATTAATGAAAGACCTGGAATGTAACAGAAGAAAGCGACTCAAGTCTGACGTAGCTTGTTTTAGAATTGGGTACCGAGGCATGAATCATACAAGCAAGTGATTGCCACTGATTCAAACTCAGTGAGTCACCCACAAACATTATCTTCTTCCCGCTCCACCTCTTCAGAAAATCCACCCCATTAAATCTGTCCAAATATAATCCAACAACAAAAAAAAAACAATATTTTAATTACTTTATTTATTCCCACTTTTCTATCCAACAAACAAAAAAGGCATTAAAGAAAAACACAGACAAACACGTGTGTGTGTGTTTTGGAAGTAAGAGAATACCTGGGCAAGTTGCAGGAATCGGGTTTCCAAGAAAACTTGAGGTACTGTTTGTCGGGTCGGCCGAACTTGATGCAGTCGAATTCCGGGTCGATAAACGGGCAGGTGGATGATTCGTAAAACGGGTAGGTAGAATCGACGACCCATTTTCCTTGAAACAAATTGCAGCCACTGCTTATAATATCTCTACTTCTGATAATGTTGCTGCTGTTGAAATTATTGGGTACCGCCGCCTCTGAGGCGGCGGCGCAGCCTAGCAGCAGCAGCAGTGGCGCCACCACTGACAGAGCTTTAGGAATGAAGCCTCTGTACCAAAAAGAAACCATTTGAAAATGGGTTTTTGGTACAGAGTGAAAACAAAGTGATGGAGACTAGCTAGTTTTTAGCCTTCAAAAATCATTGACTCATTTGTTCGTGTAAATATACATATATGTATGTATGTATATATATGATTTTGTTGAGGGTTTAAGGAAAAGGGAAAAGAACAAGTTAATGTTAATGGGTCTGACATGAGTTGTGAAATGTTGGAAGTATTTGAGTAAAAGTGTGATGTGAGGGTGGGTTGTGGGTCTGTCTTTGTCTTGGCTGCAACTTGGATTTCAAATTGTCATATAAAATAATATTATTTCCATTTAAATGTGTTACAAATAAATAAATAAATTATTTATTAAATTTCATTAGAGGCTATGTCACGGGTTTTCCGGCCGGGAGAATGAGAAATATGTTTTTTCTTCCTTTTTTTTTTTTATATAGACGTAAACAAAATAAAAAATGTGTAAATTACGGTTACCCATAAGGTCAAATTGTGAAAACATCCCTTGTATTAGTTAATTACAACCACCCCTTTCAATTATAAATTTTCTTATAGGTTCATCCTTCTGGTGATAAATTTAGTGGCATCTTCTAGATTATGTGGAATATTTTCCAATTTGTACACATTTTATTCCATTCGGACTCCACATTTTGAAATAAGATGATCAATAAGATATGTCTCTTGACTTGTAAATAACAGATTGTGGTCCATCTGAAACTGTCATTTGCACAAAACAAGTATAAACTAAATAACCTTACCTGGAACCTAGAAAATTCTGTCGAATTTGACACCTTAAAGATTAACGTGTAAGAAAATTCATAGTAGGATGGTGATTGTAATTAACGAAGTATAAATGGTTTTTTTTCATAATTAGATCTTTACATCATCATGGTGACTGTAAATTATACTTATTTTATTTTATTTTATTCGAATTAAAGAAAAAGAAAATGGAAAGATTTCCCACTAATCAAGCAAGTTGGGTGCAATGATGGTATTAAATATCCGGTAGTTAAAGAAACAATGATTGCTCATTGAAAATTATGTATTATAATCACATTATTTAAAAAAGAAATGTTCGGACCACTTTTCTTGAAGCAGCTGTATTCTTCCCATTTAACATTAATATTAGAGATAAGGAACAAATTATAAAAATGATTAAGAAAATAATAAATTTCCAGTTGTATTATTTGTTTGTTGGCAAAAAACATGACGCATGGAAATATTCATTTGCCCGTGATTTTGTTTCGTTTATGATTTAATCAGTCACATGGAGGTTGAGCTCTTTTATTTTCTTTTTTAATTAATTGCTTCCCCATACTTGATGTTGCTATTATTCTCTCCATTTTTATTTAATTAATATTTTTTTTTTAATTTTTTTTTCTAGCTTGACTTTGTGATAACAGAACTAATTGACCGAATTCATGACTGACACTCGGGTCGGGTCAAAATTCTGGAATAGAATTTCCTCGATTTTGAAAAATTTGTGGTCATTGATAAAGTAAGGGGGTTTTTAGAAAGTTTTGAAATAATACGCGGGTCTTATAACAATTTCCTTAAAGAAAAATCTCAAATTCAGCTTTAATTTAATTGTTGATTGTTACTTGTTGAAGATCAAACAGATGACTGAGAGAGACTAAAACTGTAATTATCCCACCGAAGTGTAATGAATTATAATATAGTGATAAAATAAATACGAAATGGGGTTTTTATTTTTGTAAACATCAAATGAGTTTGTTCCTTTGCATACAAGTTTATGTTAACATTTTCTATATAAAAATAATAATTATATGTTGTTAAATTAAGGCTATCATCATCAATAATAACAAACTGATTGAGTACTTACGAAGAAAGTTATGATATTTTCAGTTTATATTTAATTTCAGAAAAAATAAAAATAAAATGTGACATGTACATTGGTGCATGAACAAGTCTAATCAATTCACCATCTAGGATATCATGACATCTTTTAATCATAGCCGTCAACCACTCATGCATTATAATAATGGGAAAACTAAAGGCACCAAAGTTTAAAGTCTAATAATTACATGCATGTCCTGAAATTACTAAATTTCTTACATTAATACTCTTTTGTAGGAATGCGCATGAAATTTCAAAACTATAAGGTGAGTGAATGTAATTTCTCTAAAAAAAAAAGGAGTTCTTTGTAATTATCCAGTTACATGAGGGAGGTTGATGCAATTTAACCTTATAATAATTTCTCAACTTGGGTAGAGGAAAGTGAACATAGAAAGTAGGTTTCATTTTTTATTATTTTATTCAGATTACTTTTGGTCCATCTTGACAAGACTATCAAGATAAAAAATATATATATCTACTGCACAAGCTATTCACAAATTGGCCCTCACCTATGAATTATATTCACAATTAGCCCTCAATTAAATATCCCCTACGTGTTTTTTGGACCAAATATGAAATTGGGAGTATCTATGCAAATCCGAGTCCGATTATCCTGGATTTAGTCAAAAAGAATTTGTTTCTTTCTATGGAAACTAGGAAACTATATACTAGTATAAGTTAAAATAAATAATGTTGATATTAATTATAATGATAATTAATTAAGAATGTATAAATCCAAAAGTTGTTATACAGTAGTGGCGGCTCCATTGGCATATAGTGCGGACTCGTGGAGTCAACGTTAGGTGGTCTATGGGCCGGAGCTAGGTGGGGCCCAAATTGAGTTTTGAAGATAACAACTTGGGAGTGGGAAAAAGGTGACCACTGAATTACCTGTCATAACATATACTCAATTATGTGATAACATAACAACCTTTTGAAAAGAAATATTTTGTATTTTTTTATATTTGGTATGTGATTATAATTAAATTTTATAATTATTAATCAATTTTAACAAACGACACGAAAATTTTGTCGTATGAACCTTTGGGTGGGAGAGTTGCCGTGTGTGATGAAAACTCTGAACATGTGGTGATGGTCAACGATAATCGTTGAGATGCTACAATCAGTGAGATACACTGAGTCGTTGAGATGATCGTTGATGTGGTAAAATTGCTCCATATTAAACATACATACATATTAGTGTGTGAGTGTGTGTGTGATTGTGTGCAGATCAACGATTACTAATCACCTGATGTATTTTATCGAGTGTAGCATCAAATAAACCATTAATGAATTGAGGAAGTTGGATTCCAAATAAAAAAATAAAAAATTGTGCAAGCCTATAACCAGTTTTGTTTATCTTTTTTCTCATATATAGGCAGATCAATGTTAGTTACTATTTTTGTTGAAACATGGATCAATAATTTGTGGCCCATATAAGCACCGGTTATATATAATAAGCCCATATTATAATTACAGTAGTCTTTTAAGCCCATATTACAATTACAATGGGCTTTTAAGCCCATATCAAAGCCAGTTTTAAGGTTTACGGACCAGGCCAATTAAATATCAAATAGATAAAGCCCACGATAATGGCAAGTTGTTTGTCAATAGAAATACTAGTACTTCACCCGGAAAGTACGAAAAGTACTCGAAATAGTAAGATTGAAAGTTCCGATTGGCGTAAATAATTAATTAATCCAAAATAGATGAGAAAAGATATAAAAAAAAGAATGAAATTTCGTAATGCACAATTAATTCGAATTCTTACGGTAATTTAATGGTTGATAGATATTATGCGTAATATATTTTGCTAACGAGACGTACTAGTAAAAGTTGAAAAACGAAAATGCAAATAAACTCGAGCAGAGCTGGTTATGCTTCCTCTCTCTATACAATTTAGAATCAGATCCACCTCCAAAAATTGGTAAGATTATTACTTCCATTCAGACAATCTCCCACTCGGAATCATTCATATCTTCTTCATCCAATCTCTCCCACTCTTCGGCATCGTTTTCTGCACTAATAACTTGACGGCCACTTTTACGTGAACGTCGTTTCTTGCAGAATTTCTTTAACATTTTCTGCGAGCAAAACAGACGGATTTTAAATTTAAACTTATGATTGATGAGTATAAAATCGATCAAACATCTCGAAAAAGGAGCCAACAAAATTTCACCTGATAAGTAAGGCGGTACGGCTTGATTACAGAATCTGAACGACATTCGCCAGAGTCCACCACAATGAGGCTTTCATCAAGATTCTGGTCTCGTTGAGCGGTTTCTTTGCTTACATCAGCAACACTACTCTCTCGAGACTCTTCACTGGTCATATTTTCTGACATTGAAAGCAATGTGATTTTCGGAAAGTGCTTTAGTTTAATCTAGCGTAAAATCAGAACGTATATAGAAAAACGAATATCAAGATACCTCGAACTGAGACGCTCACATGTTCAACTTCTAAGAGTTCATTTGGAGACTCGCTTTCCGACCGGACAGAATCTGTCAAAATACAGCAAAAAGACGTAGTAATTATGTCACCTCAAGATTCAGTAGTTACTTTGGGTGAAATACAGTTCAACGAATAATTAAAAAGAAAAAAGGTAAAGGTAATGGACCTTTTACCTTTATCAAAGGAGTGAATTGCTTCTGTTGAACAAGTACTGGATGAAGAAGTAACTTCATCGCATGGTAACTTATACTCCACCAAATTACCAATATTACCCTTTTCCATGTGTGAAAAATTGGGTTCTGTAGATAATAAAGGGGGTGAATAAGAAGCTCCGGGTGATGTGCTTTCCTGGTTACAATCGATATTAATACTTGAAATATTACGAGGAGGCGAATCAGCATTCTTTTCCTGCTTAGGACATTTCGGAAGAAAACAAAAATCTTCCGATAAAACCGCCTTGGCATCATCGACTAGCTCTGTACAGAACTGTTTGATGCTTTCGCCTGCTGTAAGACACTGATTTCGAACATATTCAATTGGTTCCTGTCCAAAGTGAGACATAGCTTCAGACACAGTGGATAACTAGGTTGCTTAAGGACCAAATCGGAGAAAGACTCTCGATCACTACTAATAAACGAATAACACGCAGGATTCATAAATAAGACGGTGACAATCCAAAACACAGTAAATGTGGGATTAGGAGATACCTGAGGTATAATGGTGTCAGCTTCTGCACAAAAAGTATAAAACTTGTCGCGAAAGTTAGCAACCCAATCTACACTTCCGTTTTCAGAATTCATGACTCAATATAACTTGTGGAAGATGCGTGCACGTCTTATTTGAAGAGTTTGGTACCTAAATCAATATGTACAAATAAGTTTTTTTAGTCTCGAGGTGGAAGAAAAAATGGTGAAGTACAGAACACACGTAGTACCGCAACTTATGAGCCGAATACTTTCCGAAACTATATTAAGAAAGTTCAAAAGTTACTGATCGAGTAATATGCATAAAGTTCATGATACTCACAATATTGAAAGCTAGACATTGAGACCATCGAAAGAAGCAAAACACAAAGATTCAGAGATCAACCCCAATACAAATATATGCCAATCAACACGAACGAAACAGATGCTCTCGTAAAAGATGTGCTAAACGGTAATACTTCAATCGACAAAAAAAAAAAAAAAAGAAAAAAAAAAAAAAGCAAAATCGCAAACACGAAATAAACACATAAAATTGATCGATGAAGCTTAATTTCACAGAGTTCAGAGATTATACCCCGGTTGAATCAAAAACTAAATGTAACAGGTAAAAAATAAAAACAAAAAAACAACAAAAAATGGAAAAGAGGAAAATTCCGCACAAGTTAACAAGTTTATCTACAATATGGACGAGCGGAATAGCAGGATTACTTACAGCCATAAATAACTAAGTGAAAATTGCAGTATGTAATCTAATCAGACGACGGCACAAAAGATATAATTCAGTTGAATTGATCAAAAAACTAAAATACTTAAAAAACAACTACTCATCGCCACTAAGATTCAATGGGTAAAGCATAAAAACAGAATCAAAAAGTAAAATAACAGGCAGCAATTTGATGATGGATGAATGTGTTGAGACTCACAAGTTTGAAGCTTCGAGAAACCAAGACAAGTGGAAATAAAACCCTTGGGAGTTGGAGTTGCAGGTTTAGGGGTTTTAATGCTGATTATTATTATTAACTTTTTCGATAAACAAGCACAACTGAATCAGAGACACGGTCTTATTAGGTTTCTTCTTTTCTCGCATCTAATCAAATAATTATATTTATATGTGCCAGGTGTTTTTTCTCTCACCTAAAATTAGAATATTAATATTGTAAATAATAAAAATTGTTGAAGGTGGCTGCTGGATTTCTTAGTAATATAAGGTTATTTTAATCGTAAAGGATAAAACCCTAAATTATATTAGAAAATAGGCTAAATTACAACCACCCCTGAGGTAAGGTCAAATTACGAAAACCCCCTTTTGTTTGGGTAATTACAACCATCTCTTAATTATAAATTTTTTTATAGATCCCACCCTTGCATTTCCAAATTCAGTGGAATCTTCGAGATTATATAGAATATTATCATTTTTGTACTCGTTCAAACCCCACATTTTGAAGCAAGATGATCATAATATGAGTTTTTTGACTTGTATATTTCAGATTGTGGTGCATCAAAAACTGTATTTTTATATAAACTAATTATCCAAACAAGAAAGATTTTTTCATAAATTGACCCTACATCATAGTGTGCTTGTAATTTACCCTAGAAAATAATTTGGGTTGCTTGAGTTTTTCTACTTCAAAAATATAGAAGTGTAGTTTTGGAGTGAGCAAAATTCATAGGAGATATTTCTTTCGAAACTCAGATAAGAATATTTATAATAGGATTAATAGGATTAATATACTTATGCTCTATTATGTTAGAATATAAGTCCAAATATATGTAGCTGAGGCATGCACAATATGCTCTAAAAAGCGAGGAGTGAATTAATAACCACCGTTCATTGACGAGATGAACAAAGAGCTTCGAGTTGTCGACTGCACATACATTAAGGATATTAAGAAGAAAATGCCCAGAATTGAAAAAGGATATAATTTCTATTGCCAAATCTAACTAGATTATATATTGAAGTACATTGATTATACATAAATATAGCTTCAACTCAATCAAATCCAAAAATAACTTCCGATAGACAGAACCTTGTACTCTGCACTCGCAGGACCGATAAACACACCTCCCTTCCCACGCTCCTCTAATAAGATTCCAACTTTAGTTACGCCTGATAAAATGTACGTCTGACAAAATCAGTCCCCCATTACTGCAGACCGTTTAGGGCCAGACAAAACCAGTGCCGACAGGCACAAAACATCTTTGCTTCGGAACACGACTGCCAAATCCACATGGACCTTGGTTACATTTTTAACTCAGTTCCTACGTTTCTCATTGGAGGAGCTTCGAAGCTGATAAACCAACAGCGCAAGCAACAGCTGAAGCACAATGAATGCACACATACTAGGCTTCATTCATGTCCAGAGCTGGCATTCCTTTGATAGGGTTCTCGCCATAAACGTTATCCCCTGAGAACTAACAAGCCAAAAAGTTCGATTCTATAATATGCATAAATATTCTCTTGATACTATTACAATGACCTATACATGTGCCATATAACCAACAAATTAATCAATTCCAACACCACCTCAAAAAAAAATCGGCAAAATATTTCAACAGATGAAAACAGTGAAACAAATCATCGACAAAACTCCAACTCAACAGCAAATGGAAGATCTAATGCATTAAACAGAAACTCAAAATAATTTCAAATCCAACTCAGCTGTAATAACATGGTCACTCAGTAACCAGTGTACAGCAATTCATATTCTTTTATCACATAAGAACAAACTTCCACTTATTTTCACTTGCAAGTAAAACAATACAACAAGCACATGCTATATTATAAACAAATTTCCTAAAACTATCGAAAACCATCCAGATATCCAAGTACTTATTTCTCACCCAAAGACATAAAATTAAAAAATCAATCACAAAAACCGCCACATGCCCATTTTACTGCGTATTCACATTTGTTGCCATCAGTATCTTAATCCATTATCAAAAGAAAAAACATCTTAACTGAAATGTTGCATAAGAAGCTGGTTTTGGCCTCATTGATAGTGGGGTAAGGAGTTCAAGCGCAGGCCCAGCCGAGTTTCCCGGCTGTATGAGTATTATTTTACAGAAGACACCTTACAAAGCCCATGATGGTTATTACTGCTAAATGTTTTCTTAGTTCTTCTATCTGGCACAAGGTCAAGGAAAAGCGGTGAGAAATTTGAGGGGAAAAAATGAAGTTATATTTCATTTTATAGAAAGTGGGGAATGGAGGTTCTTGGGTTATATAAATAGAAAAAAATGTAAGATAACTGGGATTGGATTAGAAGAATTTGAAATTCACTCAAGATATTTTACGATCACTTACGAATAACTATAGTTAAACTATAGATGAATTTAGCAATGCATCACTAAAGGCAAAGGCTCTCAAAGAGCAGATAACACAATTACACAACAAACGTAAAGACTCAACAAGAAGAAGCTAACAGTAAAATAACATAAGTAGCATTTACAACAACTATAAAGTAAAACTGGGAAAACAAAAACAAACTGAAATTCAAGATATGAAAAGCAAAATCAAGTTTAGAGCACTTCAGGCCACTTATCAAGTAATACACCAATGTCTCAAGTAACAAGTTTGAGCTCACTCTAGCACATATATAGCTCATAAATCCACAACTTAAAAGGTGACACAGAAGAAGGAAGCAGCCAAAGATCTACAGCAGTCCATTTATCAACCAAAGATTTCATAGTCGGCAATCACATAATCAGCACAACCATTTAAAACATTTGCGTCCAAGAAGCTGTCAAAATACCTGAACACATAAACATTCAAAACTCAATCCAATATTCAAAATCACAAAACTCAAGAAACAAGTCACATGCTAAAATTGTGAAACAATCCAGAATGAGGCATTGCTGAACTCGTTTAACCATGTAAAAGAAGAAACCACTAGTGATTGAGATCACTTCAATTATTTGGAAGTGAAGATTATAAGGAAATCGACATCATCGCAAGCAAGAAGGAACTTAATAAAGGTACAACAAGACAAGAGAAATCGTGAGGATACATAAAATTTATTTAATACACGTGGTGCAGCATATAGTGGTAAACACACATTAAACCACAATCGGCAACCAGTCTACGAAAACAACACGTGGTACTGCATACTTAGTAGTAATATATGCATTAATTATCTATACAATTAAACCACCACTTTAGAAGTCAATATAAAAATGCGCATCAACTAATATCACTCAATTCAACAAATAAGATTCAGATTCGTATTCGCCTGCAATTAAGCACTATTTGCATATCCTTGGTCAGTATTAGACAGTTATCAGCATGAGAAACAAAACTACCAATATATGTTACACTAAATAAATCAGAAAAAGAATCAATAACCACCTATCATATGCAACTGTCACATAAGCACCATAGGTGATGATTACTCAATCATCCATCAATTACCTTAATATGGTGGCATGCCCTGGTAAGCTGGCATCCTGGGCCCCGGCCCCCCTGGGTGGTTCTGAGGGGGTGGATATCCATAGTTGCCGCCATCTGGATAACCGCCTGAGCTCTGCATTCCAATACTACTGGGCGGCATCCGGTAGCCCCCAGCATTTCCCATACCTCCGCCATACTCCCCTGATCCGGCACCATCATACATTGACGCGCCACCACCATATCCACCGCCGTAACCCTGCCCACCTGGTCCGCCATGGCCGGCATTATAGCCTGCACTCTGATGCATCATACCACCCTGTTGTGGCGGCTGAGGCATATTAGGCCCCTGACCATACCCCATATAACCTCCCATTCCGTAATTCCTAGCTGGCATACCCATGTGGCCAGAATTCGACATTCCCGGAGCTACACCACCTGGTGGTCCAGCAGAATTTGGCTTCTGCTTCTTGTTATCTGTAGCCAACTTACAAACCAACTGATGCCCGTCGACAGTTTTCATTGGATCGACCAGTGAAGACTTTGCCCCCTCTTCTGTCTTGTAAACGAAAAACGCAAACCCTTTGGCCTTTCCAGTCTGCTTGTCAAACCCTAGCGGCCCTTCCTCGATCTCACCGTACATCGAAAAGTGAGCCAACAGCCTCTCGGAGGAAATCTCAAACGGAATATTACCAACATAAATCTTCCTCAACGCCACGTCGGTAGAGTGGGAATTACCTGAATTGCCTGCGGCAGCAAGCTGAGTCACCGTAATACGTCCGTCAATCTTCTTATTCGGCTGCTTTAGGGCTAAAATCGCAGCATCGATGTGGTTAAACGTCACAAATCCGTAACCCTTGGACTTGCCAGTGTTCTTGTCGGTAATAACGATAGAGTTGGCTTCATCGAGTTCTCCGTAGGCGGAGAACTCCTGGCGGAGTTTCTCGGTGGTTGTTTCCCAGCCGAGGCCACGGACGAAGAGCTTGCGCTGGACGGGATCGGCGTCGGCAACGGCGCGCACCTCCTCCAAGACATCGGGGTGGCGGAGGACGGCGGCGCGTAGAATAGGTAGGAGCTGCTCCTTGGTGAATGGCTCGAGGATTTTCTCGGCGTCTTCGGGAGATAAGATGCTCATCTGCGGCGGTGGCGCGGCGGCCATGGTGTTGTTGAGGTCTGTCCCCAACGGGTACGCTCTGCCGTTCTCGTCAGCCTTGCGTTTCTTAGAAAGATCCATTGATGAGAAGCAAGTTTCTTCAGGAAAACCCTAGGACAGAGGTGAGGGATAAATCACGCAACGAAACCCTATGGAGAAGGATTCTTCTACTTATAGTTCGTTCTTTTACCAAAACGCAGCGTTTTGTTAGCTCTTTTTAATTCGGATCGCCTTACTTGAAAATCATCCAAACGACGTAGTATTCCCTAATATTGTTGTGGCCTATTTGGGCCTTATTTGATGAATAAGGAAGAGAAACTCAATAAGCCCATTACCCCAATCCGAACTGGATTGTTGGCCTGTTTTAAAGAAAGGGTAAATTACGGCAAACCCCCTGAGCTAATATCAAATTACGAAAAAAACTCCTCATGTTTCGGGAATTACAATGACCCCTCATTAGTGGAATTTTCTCCAGTTTGTACCCGTTTTAATTTACCTCATTCGAACTCCACATATTGAAACTAGATGATCGTAAGATGTGTCTCTTAGCTTGTAAATATCAGATTGTGGTGCATCAGAAACTGCCACAAAACGAATACAAACTAGAGAATATTCCACGGAATCTAGAAGATTATGTTGAATTTGACACCATAAGGGGTGACGTCTACGAAAATTCTTAGTTGATGCGTGATTGTAATTACCCAAACAAGAGAATGTTTATATTTTCGTAATTTAACCTTAACTCAGGGATGACCGTAATTTACCTAATAAATATTTGAGTTGGATGAAATAATTTTAAAATTTATATATCAGATCAAACTCAAAGTGTCACCTTTGGCTTATTCAGATGAATGAATAGATGTTCATAATTCATAATTCCACAATTTTAATAAAGCAAAAGTAAAATACTGAAAATCCCCTTTAATTTACAATCAAAATCAACAAACACTTCTTTTCTTTTGCACCAGAAGTGCAATGTAAGAAGATCAAGTCATCCTTTTCCCTTTGTTGAGGATTCTAAACCTCAAAAAAAAAAAAAAAAAAAAAAAAGCCCGAAAAGAAAGGCATCATGTACTTAGTAAGGTAAGCTCTTAGAACTCGAACTAATCACCAAAGCCTTAAGCTTCGAAGAATCGCCATCACCGTTGGCTCGAGTAGTAATCGTCTCCATATTCTTATACAAACTCTGCTCCACGATTTTCTTCATCAAAATCTTCCCTTGATCGACATCTCTCCGATTCACCGGCGAACCAATCACAACCCTCCCCACCTGCGGGCCCGAATGTGGGCCCACTCTCATTCGTCTCTCGTCTTTAAACCACTGCAATATCTTCAAAGCCCTCTTCTGAGCAAGCGGACTACCCAAAAGTGCCACTTCTAAAAGCACTTGCACAATTCCAGCCTTGGCCATTTTCTGCCTCTGCGACGAGCTTTGGTGGGCTAAAATCATCAAAATATAAGCCGACAACTCTTGGCTTTTCGGATTATCTTCCCATGTCATAACCTCGATAAAACACTCGGGTATCATCGGGTTTTGCTCGAGTGCTTTTTTTCCTGCTAGGGTTACGACTAGGTTACCTAGAGTTGCTAAGGCCTTTCCGGAAGCTTCTTTTATCGAGGAGAGCCTAATTAAAATGTCGACGACCCCTTTAGCGATCAAGCTTCCGGAATATTCTAGAACCGAAGACAGATTGTACAACGCTGTCAAGCAAGAATCTTTGGTCTCGATAGTTGAGCAAGATTCGAGAATGGAGACTATTAATGGAATGATTCTTGATGAGGTGAGGGAGAATTGGCTGTTGGCTAGTGCGGAAATCGACAAGAGGAGCTGTGCGAATTCTCGCTTAGCTGTCTCGTCTAGGGTTGTCGTGATGTCATCGGGTATTCGTGACAAGATTCCTGCCTCCACCATTAGAGCCTTGTTCCTAACAAAGGAACAACACAAATAAAGATATTTAATTAATTAATTGATGAAAAAGGAATATATATATATATATATATATATATATATATATATATATATATATATATATATATATATATATATATATATATATATATATATATATATATATATATATATATATATATATATATATATATATATATATATATATATTAATATATATATATATATGATCCAATGCAGATGATAGAGACATTATGCAATGAAGATAAGTCAACAAGATTCTCCCAACTAGATTTGGCTTTGAAAATGAGGGTAAAAAATGAACTACTCATCATTTAATGTAAAAGTACTTATAAACGGAAAACCGAATTTAGAGGCGGGGAGAAATGCGGCGGCCGCCCCCCACCCGCCACCACCCACCACCACCAACAAGTCAATAATGGCCATTAGGTGTCCATTATGGTTTGGTACCTTTTCTTTGCAGTTGAGTCAGCCAACCAGTTAGGCTTAATCATCACTCAAATTTAATCTCATTAAATTCTTTAAATAAATAATAAATAATAAATAAATCCCACCAAAAAAGAGTTTCAATGAAACAGTTCATATTATTGCCCTGTTTTCTCCTTCCCAAACTTTTTAATTTTTCACTAATAAAAAGATACTAATTTCGAAATCGATTATCTTTTATTGCAAAAAAATGATGATTAAGGAGTCTCCAAATTAACAGAAAATAATTAATTAATAAATTAACTCACGTGAAAGAACCATTGGCGAGCTCAATCAACGCCCGAACAGCCAACATCTGACGCGCCGCCACCTCCGAGCCAACCATGGCAACCAGCGGCGGAATAACACCCAGCTCCGCCATGGTAATTTTCCGGCGCTTCAGCCCTTCCTCCGCCAGCTCCTTAATCTCCTTCGCCGCCGCTTCTTTATCATCCCACCCCCCAAAATGAAGCATCTTCACACACTTCTGCAGACGATGATCATCCAATATTTCCTCCCTCCTCTCTTCAATCTCAGCTTCTTTACACACAACCACCATATCCACAACAATAGGCTTCTCCTCCGCCGTCTGCGGCGGTTGAAGCTGCTTATTGGTCGGCCTTGAGTGGAGGAGCCGTCGCATGCGAGTAAAGAACCTTAGTGCAAAGAGCCAATTACTATTAGTTAAAGAAGAAGAAGAAGAAGAAGAAGAATCTGACATATTTCAAAGAATTTATTTTTTGACCAAAAAAAATCTTGTGGCTGCCTAATTTCGATTAGTCAATTCTGAGTCTGACTTTTTAGGGTTGAGAGAGAATAAAAAGTTGATCAAGAATCAAACAAAGGGGGGAAGAAGACTTTGTGGGTAAATACAAAAGGGAGCAGATCTCTTGCACATGCAGCCTAAGAAATCTTGTCTGTTTTCATGGGAAAATTCAATTTAATACAAATATCTGCTACGTTTTCATCAACTGTAATGAATATATTTTATTGCAAGTGAAGGTGTGAAGTTACCGTAATGCCCTTGTGGTTTGTGGGAATTTACTTTGGCTTGATGAGGTATGACCTAATCATTGATGTAATTTTGTCAACAGTCAAATGAATGCTAAGGAGTAGGGAAGAAATAGTGGAGGGAACCTAATTTTTTGGACTTAATTAGCTTGTGATACCTAATATTTATATATATACGGTTTATACCTAACTGATTGATTTGGATAAAATTTAAAATTAATACAAGCGTTTGAATTCTAAAGTGATAGATAATATATATGCAATAAAAAAGAAATTCTAAAAAGTGATAATATTTTGGATTAAAGAGTATTTTACTCTCTAGAGAGTTCCAAATTAATCTGGGTAATTGTGATTAAATAGGGCTCGCATTCGGCAGGGCTCACTAAAAAATAGTCTCGACTCAAATATATCGGACTTCAGTTAGGCTCAGATCAATTACTGGCCCTATGTTTAAGGTAGTAGGATTATTTAAGTCATGTAGTCTCATGTGGGTTGATTGGTGATTGTTTGGATTCCGAGATAAAAATATGTAGATATGATTCCCGGATTTAAAAACTTACAGCTAATCACCCTGAATCAATGTACGTAATCTATTAAAATCAGTGAAAATTTAAGACAATATGAAGCTCATTGATTAGGGTCATAAATTCATAGTAAAGAGTTGCAGCAATACACGTGTGCTCTAATTAGTGGTCTGGTCTCAAATATTTAAGGTAGATCAATAATTCCACGATGCTGGCCTTTAGCATATGGTAAATAAGAATACTAAAAAAAATACTCCATCCGTTTTGAAATAAGTGTCTATTTTCACTTTACACAAAAAATAAGAAACTCAATAAATATATCTTGATTTTAGAAAAATCATATAAAAATGACTAAAACAACATTTATTATTTAATGATTTATAATAGAAAATTAATAATTAAATTTTCATTAATAAGGTTAAAACAGGAAAAAATGCATTTAATGCAGTATTGAAAATCTAAAGTGACAGATAATATAGAATAAAAATATTTTTAAAAAGAGACCGTTATTGGGTGACAGAGGGAGTAATAATAATAATAATAATTACAATCAATTTTCTTTCTTTCCAAACGAGAAAAAAAAATAAAAAAAAAAATCATCGTGTCAATTGTCAAGCCAAACAACTAGTTGGAGACTTCAAATTGCAATTAAACTCCACCACCCCAAATAAATTAATTAATATGGGGGGTCGTAGTCGTGGAAACGATTTATCGCAGACGTGGAATATCATTATTGAATTATCTGCACAATATATATATTATCAGGGTCGGTTCTGAGGGGAGGCGAAGTAGGCGGTCGCCTAGGGCTCCCGGATTTTTTCAAAAATTTAGGGCCCCCGAATTTTTTTATACCCTTTATATATGAACATTTATTGAAAAAAAATATATTATATTTATAATTATTGAGAATTTTAATTCATAAATAGCTATGTATCAACGATTCTTACTTGTTTCTAGAAGTTCTCTAATCATGAGGACCCCTAATTATTAAATTTGTAATGTATTAGTTATTTACTTTTATATATATTCACTTGTTTTAGTGCAATTTCATGCAAATTATTCCTAAAAAAATTTGGGGCGCTGCCCCCGAACCCCCGTAAACTTTAACTCTACTATATCACAAATTTTTAGCTTTGCCACTGGCTATGTACCTTACAAAATCGAGTTAAAATAGAGTTTATCACCTTTTATAAAAAAAAAAGTTTTATTGTAGATTGTAGAAGGGGCCCCATTTTTTATTCGTCTTCAAATCTCGCCTAGGGCCCCCAAAATCTCAGGAACGGCCTATATATATATATATATATATATATATATATATATATATATATATATATATATATATAGATGGTGCAGTATGGCATGGCATGGCACCCTCCAATTTTGAACACATGGAATTGTAAAAAGTTTGAAGTGTGTGACTCGTGTATTCGTTATTATGTTAAATCTCATAAGTCATACCATTAAGTCAACTTTAATGCATGCACCCACCTTGATTATCAAGCTCGGTGGCATGGGGTATGGAAGCACGACTAATTAATTAATATATATCTTGTATATATATTATTGGACTATATATATAAAACACATGGTGGAGTCGTCACAGCCTGATCAAAAGTAAAAAGATCACCAAAAACACGTGACTACTGAATATAAATGGTGCTTTTAGAATTAGTGGTATGGGGATTCCACCAAGTAAATCAGCAGATGCAAACTGACATCTGATATATATATATATATATATATATATATATATATATATATATATATATATATATATATATATATATATATATATATATATATATATATATCCACTAGCGACAGTGGCAACTGGCAAAAACCAAAATGAAGAAATGGATGTGTGAATAAAGGCAAAAAAGAATATATTGCACCAGCCGGGAATCGAACCCGGGTCTGTACCGTGGCAGGGTACTATTCTACCACTAGACCACTGGTGCTTGCTTGTATACCTTTCGTTGTTTATCTTTCATATTCAAAATCCAACTTTTCACATTTTATGAACCACTGAAGCAGCCACACAATACCATAAAAGTGGCAAATCGATCGAGTTAAAGAATACATGGATTTGTATTAGTTTTTATTTGTTTCTTATACAAGGTTAAAAAAGAAATAGAAAAATTAAGTCAATTTAACAGCAACACCAAATCATAAACTATGTTAAATTTCAACAAAGTCATCCTCGTCGCCAGTTTCGTCATCCCAGCCGATTTGAAAAGAGGCTGCAGATTTCATCAGTTCGGTTAGCCCAGTTATATCCTCCAGATAAGTTGGATGGTTAATTGCTTCAAGTATAAAATCCAACCCCCCCTTTTCATATTCTTCAACCACCTAAAAACCACGAAGTTCCGATAAATACACTGAAATAAGTAAATAAATATAATTTCGATTCTCAAAAGGCGAAAAATTATACACCGTTAAACGGTGCAGGCATCTTACAGTGGAGCTACAAGCTGTGCAACTGGCTGAGGCATGACCGGCGAGGGTCATCTGAGAAAACTGAGATATCGATCCCCGAATTTGATGGGGGAGAATACCGAGAGGTTGCTCACTTCCAGTATCAATTGAGCTTGCAAATTCAGCTTTAGCAAAAATCCTGTAAAAGTTGCATAGAAAATAACTATTAAAAAAAATGACACCAAAATTCAGCATTATTGAAATATTAGATCTGCAAAAATGGACTCACCCAGAAGGATGATGAAGAATGCCCACAAGAAGTTCAACTGCAAGAGATGACGCAATCGGAGCTAACCCTGGACGTGTAACTGTGCATTGCTGGTCCAATGTACGGTTGGCAGTTGACTTCAAAAATAAAATAAAAATTAAATTAAATTAAAAAAAATTGAGCTTAGGTTGTAAAGGATGCACAAATTAGTATCATTTACATCAACTGGAGCAACAACATCATTGCAAAAGTAACACCCCAATCTCTGTCCCTTGATGTTGTCCTTGAGGGAGAGGGCTCCAATTTCAGCAGATAAATCATTCGTAGCTTTAGCTTTTATTTCAGGAGAAGAGCTCAGTGGACCAGCTCCATGGCGCATAACTAGAAAACTATCGAATCCAAGTGCAGCGGTAATTGTGACCTGCGATTAAAGCAAAACAATTTCACACATCAGCAGAAATATCTAATTTCGGGACGAAGATTGTGTGAGCAGAATTATTATTATTACAACCTTATTGGCATTGGCACAAAGAAGACTTGGAAGCCACCTACTTTCTCGTGTATCTGTTAGCAAAAAAACTGCATCATGAGAATCAATCAACTCATGCAAACGCTTGCAATCTTCGAGCACACTATTCTCTTCTTGGCTTGGTACAGGATGCCCCGGCATTGGGATAGCCATTATAACAGATTCCGCTTCCTGAAAAAAAATAAAAAATTAAGACATTTGCTTAGTTGAAGACATCAATCACATTGCATTATAGAGTATATATATATATATATTATATATATACACACACACACTACACACCACTGCTGGGAATATTTTTTTTAGACTTTTAACTGCTGCTTCAGCCTTCAATTCACCACCATTGAGGCAGTCATCCAGGGTATACAAGGACTGCCTCAGTGGGTTCGACATTGCCACTTTGCCGCTATCGAGAAGTGTAATCTTTCGCACACCCCATGCCTGAAAAAAAGAAAATAAAGAATAAAAAAATAGAAGTTATTCAAGTTCAACACGAAATATTAAACTTTACGTAGGGTTCTCACGTGCATCATACCATAAGCATTCGAGCAACCTGGCATCCAAGTGTACCTGCTCCTAGAAGAAGACATCTTGTAGATGACAAGACATTGAGATCTAATGAAGGCAGTTGACGCCATCTCATTAACTTTAAGTTCAAATCTGCAGCTGAAATGGCTAACCTGTAATCGAGGAACAACTAGTTATTTAAAATACAATCATGTTTTTTCTGAGTTGTGGAGAGGTATTGTATGCAAACACACCTAGTGGGGTCCATTGTCTTGGCAAGGCTGATGCACCTCGGTGCCTTTCTTCCTCTATTATTTTGTTCCCAACCAACAGCATTTGGCATATTCTGATCGTTTCTCGAATCTAAGGCAAAATAACTTATATAAGATTGCATCAAAAGTGCAACTGCAGAAACGAGATAAGAAAAATCTGAAATATGCTGTTATCTTATTCAGGGTAGATCTACCTTGTGAATTTGATATTGACGCTTCACCCACCAAAGATAACTCTAGATTGGCAAAGCCACGACTCTCACGATAGCAGAAAAACTGAACCTTCTCAAGACTCCATCTTCTGCTAATATACCATAAGTAGTTTCGAAGAGGCCAACCAGGATTATTTGGAAGATGACAAGGGTCATAAAATCCAAACAGGACCTGCAGAAAAATACAGAAATATGTGTCATTCATTTATCGTTAATTTATTTAGACCGGCTAAACCTAGGTAAACTAGGGCACTATTATTATCAACCGTAATGTAAGCAAATATTGTGTGTGAAATGCCAGAAGAGGTTAAAATGTCAACTATATATGACAAACCTTATCACCATTCTTTCGGCAGGCATCAAACTCAACAAGATGCCTAATACTCGCAGCAGAGTTTGATGAAATAGAAACCAGGAAGAATGGCACATCTGTAAAAAACTTGATCCTTTAGGCTGTGAATGGTACAACAAAAGTAATGAAATGAAGTCTCAGAATTCAGGATATATTTACCTGTTGTTGAGCACATGTTACGCCAATCATTGCAAGCAGCAGTCACTGATTCTGCCTGAACCAAAATAAAAAAAATTAACATCTCAAAGGGCTAACACAGTACTATCTAATTAATTAATATTTGAAGCACCTCTTCTACGCTAAACCACTGAGCAGCTGGCTTTAGACCAACCAAAGTTGCTGGAGGGTCAAGAATCAAAGCAGGAAAAGCAAACCAGTAATGAAAGCTCCAATTCTTTAGGTCCGCAAATGAAATGACAATAAATCTTAAAAGAACACTGTTGTCCTCATCAACTTTGCCTGAACGAATGTCCTCCCAGATCTGAAAATTCATAAAACATATACGATAATACATCCATATTCAAGGTGAGTTGTCATCTAAAGTAACTGCAACTTATCCCCAATAATAAATAATTTGAGACAAACGTAAAATGTTACCTTTCTTGCTTCGGCCCGTAATAAGCTTTGTTTGTCAAGTGACTGGAATCCCTCCAATGTGTTCGTATTATAAAGAATGCCAGGAACAGGACACCTATTTCTATTCCCACGAATTATTTCTGGCCTAAAATGTTCACTAGATTCAGAAGGTAAAGACTCAGAAACAAGAGTTAAATGATTCGATACATGAGGATGTGAGCAAGGTGCATAAAAACCTGCCATGAGATCAGAAGCAAAAAAAATACATCATAGTTAGAATCATCAACGGGTAATGTCTAGTTTCTATATATTAGTTACATAAAATCAAATTCCTCATTGGATAATCATATCTCTCCATGTGTCTTCAACATTCTCTTTTCTCTAATCTCAGATTTAGTGGGCAAAAGTAAAGTACAACCGGCATTTTTCCAGTTAACAGACAAAAAAAGGCGCACATTCGAGTGGTTTCTGAGTCTATGGAGACAATAACTTCTAACCTAGCATTAACATTAACTACCATTGATCGGATTAATATTACTATAAATACCTCATATCCAGCACTTTTATGCCCATTAATTTTACTCAAATAAATAGTTCGATCTGCCTGATAACTCTTTAGGTCATCGCCAGATAAAATATGCTCAGTGATAAACTCAGGGAAGACGGAAAATAGCTAATACCTCCAAAGCACCGTTACCATTCCGTAAGACATAATTAAGAGACGCAACAGAAGTTGGAAGATTTCGAGAAATCTGGATTCTAATCTATCTAACAATAATAACAGCTAAAACGAATGTAGATGAAATCTATGATGATCGAAATTGCAAGTGACGCAGGTGTTAGAGAAAGCATACCCGTGATAGGAATGGGAGAATCATCAATTCCCAGCTTGTTAAGCTTCAGCGATGATAACCTATGCCAAAACCCCTCGTCAACTGCACTTTGAAAGGGTGCGAATTGAAGAATCGATTCTGTACCTTGATCCGCCATATTAGATGTTTTACTTCTCCTTCACTTACTACGCTGATAGATCGCAGCTATTGTGTTAATCGAAGTTTTTTCAGAGGTTTGAAAATTGAAATCTCTCCAGAACAAGTTAAATTGTCATACAAACTGCCACTGAAACTCGAGGCAACCGCTTCTCGACGCCGATTAGATAAAAAATTCAACAAAAAGGACGCGCGATTTCACTGAAGTTATCAACAATTAAGAAATCATGAAAAGCAAGAACATTAGGGCACGGAATTGGGGATTGGCGATTGCCGCTGGGTACTACTGTGTAAGTTGAAATTGGCGAACGTTGTTATTAAAACGCCACCGTTTAGCGTAGATAATACTTAATTTTAACGGCGTTACAATTTATAACGGCAACAACGACTCCCGGGAAAAAAAAAAAAAGAAAAGAGTAAATTTTCAATACAACTTATAATCACTTATTCAATGGAGATTATCATTTAACATTCATTTTACACAGTACCCCATTTTTCAGATGATCACTTACATTGTATGTATATATATCTCTAGAGAGTTGGGTAAGAAGCATCCATGGCAATACCACACATACCACGTTTGTCCGAAACACCCCTTAAAATCCTCACATACCCTTTCTCTCCCCAATTCTCCCCCCACGAGTTTTTAACCAACCAATACTTGGTCCCATCCCGAGTTCTACCGTACCCGACCGCCACCACACCATGGTCAAGTTCGGTCCCACACCCCCCGTTAATAACCCCACTCGAGTAGAAAATGAAATCAAAACTCGAACTATCAAGCGCCACCGACACCGGCTGCTGAGCAACAGCAACGAGCAAAGCCTCTTCGTTGTTCTCCGGAACCTTTTCGTATCCACTTATCTTGGCCGCCGATGCCCCTTTTGTCGCCTTCTTGGTTTTGCAAGTGGTGCTGTCCGAGGCCGTGTAAGGATATTCGGATTCTCTTTTAAGCCCTTTGTTCTTCACGATGAATTCGAAAGCTTTGTCCATTAAACCTCCGTTGCAACCTTGGTCTTCGCCTCTTCTGTCGCAGTCCATTAGCTCTTGCTCTGAAAGCGATACGAGTTTTCCCGTTTTTATCTGATTAATCCCCTCAACGGCTCCCACTGCAGAAAATGCCCAACAGCTTCCTGAAAAAGAAAAACAAAAATTACGTTATGATGGATTTTTTTCTATTTAATTAAAAAAAATAAAAAAAATGTTGCTTACCACAATGGTCGCCTTGATCTTTAACATGGGTAACTGCGCCTTTTATTCGCCAGTCCATAGTTGCCGGGACGGAAGTGACATTGGCGTATCTAAAAGGCTTGTGTTCCGAGGAATATTCCATTTTAGGGTTGACCGTCTGCCTTTTATAACCAGTAGACGAAGCTCGAATCTCTTCACTAGTCATGTCTGCAAACGCATTCACACCAAGCTTGTAGCCGCGGTCGGGACCCGCGTTGAAAGCTTCGATCTTTTGCACGTTGTTCTTGTATATTTCGAAGCGTTTGATTTTCTCTACGGCGTCTTTGTAGACGCGCCCGTGCCGAGACATCCACGCTTCGTGTCTTTCTAACATGTGCACGTCGGAGAGGGGAAGTTGATGTGGCCGCAGCATTGCCCGAGAGATCGAAATTCTGCAGAAGAAAAGAAGAAAGGTGGTCACACAAAAGTTTACGAGAGCCGCCATAGTTTGTATTAATGTTGCCAAAGATATTATAAAATGCATACTGATTCTGAAGTTTATATAGGCAAAGGGTTCGTCTTCGTTGCTCGGTGAATCAATCATTAGGGTTACGTTTAGAGAAAGACATTCCATCTACCTGCCCTGCAAATTCTTCTGATTTCGACGTTTACAGATCGATTGAATACTGGAAAAACGAATCACTAATTAGCCAAAACTTGAATATTGCATTCACATTGATTAATTACATATATAGGTAGGTGCTAATTAAATTATTGTTTTCTTGAAATGTGATATATTTCATATCTATTAATCGCCGTAAATACTAAATTAGGCTGAAAATTTTAATTAAGAAATGATCAAACGTGTATTCATTCATACGAAAACGATCTCCAATTTAACTAAGAGGTAAGATTGTGGTCCATGTTGCCTAACGAAGAAGTTGAAACATACAAGTAACCTTGCACAATGAGAGAAAGAACTAAAATTCCATGGAAATTAATCTCAAAGATATTACTTAATTAGGTTTATTTAGAAAAAAAAATACTAATTTTAATATCATGCCAATGGGTGGTTGCAATAATTTCAAATCTGTCACGGGTTACATTTCTTCTTATTACTCTTTTTTTTTTTTCTTTTCTTCTTCCTTTCTTACATAAGGTGTTAGATTTGTTATTCAAGATTTTCGGAGTCTATCCAAAAGAATTATTATTAGGGTAAATTACAAACACCCCCTGAGGTATGGTCAAATTACAAAAACACCCCTCTTGTTTGGATAATTACAACCACCCCTCAACTAATCAAATTTAGTGGAATCTTCGAGATTATATGGAATATTATCACTTTTGTACCAGTTTTATCCCATTCAAACTCTACATTATGAAGCAAGATGATCATAATATGTGATTTTTAGCTTGTATATATCAGTTTGTGGTGCATCGGAAACTGTATTTTTTACACAAAAAGCATACAAACTAGAGCACATTTCACGGAATCTAGATGACTATGTTGAATTTGGCACCATAAAGGTGGAGGTCTAAGAAAAAATCATAGTTGAGGGGGGTAGATGTAATTATCCAAACAAGAGGGAGGTTTTTGTAATTTGACCATACCTCAGGGGGTGTTTGTAATTTACCCTTATTATTATTATTATTATTATTATTATTATTATTATTATTATTATTATTATTATTATTATTATTATTATTATAATAAGTGTAGTTTTCAAAAAATATTTAAAAAATTAACTAAATGTCATATATTTTAAGTCCGATAACAAATTTGGAAAAATCGGAAAAGGGAATTTTTGAAATTTGAAAATCCATTTCAATTTCCACACCTATACAAAACAATTTGAATTAAGGGTGGAGTATAAGAAGATTTTAGCTGAGGGAGTAATTGTAATTACCCAAATATAAGAGGGTTTTTAATAATTTGACGTTACTTAGGGGGTTGACCATAATTTACCCTTTTGAATTAGATTCTTCTAAATCTTTTCTTTAAATCATTTGGGCCGTGTGGCCGTTGCCTTGATTTTGGGCCTATATTAAGTAAGTTAAGTGGGCCGAACTCTCTTGATAATTAACGACGACGTCGTTTTGATTGTTGTTTTATTGTTCTGACGCGGCCAATTACAACCACCAGAAAATCGAGGGTTTTTACTTGGAAGAAAGAAAAATTAATTTGGTTTTGCTGAAAAGAAAAACCTTGCAACTGTTCTTGGTAAGCCCTTTCTTTCTTCTCACGGTAGACGATGACGTCTGGTTAGAATTGGTTATAGAAATTTTTAATTGTTCGAACAAATCCCCAAAGCCCTAAATTTGTTTTCAATTTTTTCGTTAATTGCTCTCGTCTGGATGAAATTACATAATCTGGTTGTTGTTAATTACATTGTCCAATTGCTGATGGATTGCTATGAATCGGATTTGTTTGTAAGATTGAATAGTTAGAGGCGTAATATATAATTAAAGTAGTTCCCTTTAGAAATTATATTTTGGAGTAAGAATCTATACTTGAAAGTTTGAATCTTTTGTTACCTCTTAAATACCTTTTCTTCAATAATATCTGAAATTAAGAATTTATCGCATTTCGTTACTTGTCGTATTTTGTGTGGTGATTATTTGTTTAATATCTTCTTGTAGATTGGAAAATTCTAAATGGCAGTTGCAATGGAAGCTACTTTGAACGACACTAATTCATTGTCCGAACCAAAACCTTCGGTCATATACCGCTGCAAGAAATGCCGTAGAATTGTTGCAACAGAGGAGCTTATTCTTCCCCATAAACGTGGACAAGGACAAAAATGCTTCAAATGGAAAAAGAGAAATGATAAGTCGGAAGATACGGGGGCAACTGAATGCTCCTCTATATTCGTGGAGCCAATGAAATGGATGCAAGCAGGTTCACATATTTACATTCCCTTTGCTGCACCGTTTTTGTATTAATCTTTCGGCAAAATCGTTATTTATTTGCTTGCTGTTTGTGTGCAGTGGATGAGGGCTGCATAGAGGACAAGCTTCAATGCATCGGTTGTAAAGCTCGATTAGGTTCCTTCAATTGGGCAGGCATGCAGTGCAATTGTGGCGCATGGATCAATCCTGCCTTTCAGCTGCACAAAAGTCGTATGGATGAGTGCCATGTTTAAGTTCCTCTTTACGGCAGTTTTGCCATTTTACGTGTTGCAACATAGTTAGGTCTGTCATAACTATGTGCTGGTTAAGGTTAAGGCAATTTTGTAGATGTTAAACGAGGATGTCTGATAAAAGTTTTTTTGGAACTCTTTCTCTGCATTTTATCAAGCTTTATTTAGATGTTTAATGCTTCTCAAAAGAAAAATGTTAAATGTAGTCTAGATTTTCCCGTAATCTTTACAAATTTATTATTCAATATTCATGAAGTCTATCCACAAAAACCATTTGAATTCGAATGTTCTTTTATTTGGTTTTAACTTACATATTAAAGTTTCACACGGGATAAATTACGACCACCTCAGTCCCTGAGGTAAAGTATAATTACAAAAAAAATCCATTTTTTAGAAATTACATCCAGCCCCCTTGTAGTTTGTGAATTTCTATATGGCCTGTTCATCATGCGGTGTTGTTCAAGAGTTTGATAATTTCAAGGCTCACATTGGCCGCATTACCGGTGAAACCGGCACCTACATTCATATCGGCAAATCCGGCGCTGGCTCTGTCAATACCTACAAAGAAAATAAGATTTACGAAGCCGAGAAAGTGATTGAGGATTTGGTGTTCAAATAGGGCTTTCAGTTGCTAAATCTAAAGAGGTCAAGTCTTTGATCGAGAAACTCACTGCTGCAGAATATGGCCAAGGGAAATGGTTCCCAGTTTTTGTCGGGGCTTGTGCTTATGCTGTAATGAGAAGGGATCGGAGGATCTTACCTATTGTCCAAGTGGCAGAGTCAGTTTGTTGTGATGCTTATGAATTAGGTCGAATGATCAGTCGGGTGGTTGATTTTATCGATTTGAAGTTGCCCGAGTTTGATATAGTGTATGCTTTCGAATCTGCAATTAAGAGGTGCCCGAGTTTCGGCAATGTTTCAATGGATGATGATGAAAAGAATGCTGGATCAAGGTGTGTTTTTGTTGCAGTGCTTGATCAAGTGGTTTGTGACCACAGGTAGACAGCCCATGCCTGTGGTCGCTGCAGTCTTGGTATTTGTCGCCGAATTGAATGAAGTACATGTGAAGATTGATGATGTGGCGAATGAATTGCATGTTGCTGTTAGTACATGTAGGCGTAGGTATAAGGAGCTTATGGAGAGCCGCTCGTGTTTTGCCATGGGGAAAAGACGTGACAGTGAAGAATATTTTAAAGAACGCTCCGAGTGTCATTCAATACATGGAGATGAAGTCAATGGAGAAATGCAGCAGAGGGAAAAGTCAAATTCAGAGCGTTGATCTTTTTCTGTACGATTTGGAACGATTGGTCGGAGACTGTTTGAGGAAAGATGGATACGATAGTCTCACCAGGGAGGAAGATTGTAGCACAAGCTATTCGAATCAGAGCATTGATTATCCGGATAAATTCCAGATTTCTCACGAATCTTTGTCTGTAATTTATTCCGATTTTGCTGGTCAAGGCCAATGCAGAGATTAGTACAGGGGATAAAATTACGATATTCAATTATGTACGGATTGGTGGAAAGGGAAATCGGACTTGAGCAAAAAGCTTGTTTTGAAGCAAATACTGGAGAAGGGTCTGGGTTTGGATGCTACGCCTCCATCTTTCGAAAAGGGATGCTTAGCTAACGGAAAAAAGACGAGAAAAGATAAAATCTGCAAAGTTACAAATATAGAGAATTATGGATCCGACAAACGCCGAATCTGGTGATGAGAATGCTTTGTGTGGGCTTGAAAATTCAAGAAAGAAGAGAAAAGAAAGTGCAGCTGGATATTGACTGGGAAGATTTGATAATGGAAACTCTGCTTCTTCATAATGTGAAGGAAGAGGAGATAGAAAATGGGCATTATAATGCATTGATGGCTTTGCATGTATTTGATGACTGTATGGATTGATAATTAGTTAATTAATTTTAATTTTTTTTTTTTTTTGTTCAATAAAAATTTTGGTGAGATAAATTTGTTGAGCCCATAAATTGTAGCAATTGAACTGACTTTCCTACAGGCCCACAATGGTTACAATGGGTTTAGTTATTTAATATTGGGCTGGCAATTTGGGTCTGTTGACCAAGACTAATTTTACGTAAGAGTGAATTAAGGTTGCTCTAACGGCTCTGAAGTTGATTATGAACAAAAAAATATTTCCTCTCTCAATAAAAAAAAAAAAGAAAAAGAAAAAAGAATTGAGGTTAAGGCTATTAATTAGGAGTTCTTTATTTAATTAGGCGTGTGTTAGGGATATTTCCAGGTTGCTTTCTGAAAGAGCTTTTCATCTTTACCTAAATTTCCAACAACTTTCCTCTAAATAAATTCATTTGTTCTTTTGTGCGTATATATATATATATATATATATATATATATATATATATATATATATATATATATATTAAATATAAGTCAAGTATTTAGCTAGCTACGTGATAGCAAAGGAATTGGCGGAGGGGTCATTTTCGTGTAAATTACATCACACCAGGCAATGCCATTTAATAGTTTAATCTGCAGCTTAATTCCTTGTTTAGTGTAATGTAAACTTCACTTAATATTCATACATATCAATTGTATCACACGTCACCGATGTTTGATCATACAATATATTTTCAGGTCAAAGTCTTTCTTTATAATTTCCAGGGTTATGGTAATTACGATTTGAAATAATTATATTTTATTAATTAATTATCTAATCGGCCTAATGGCAAGTTGGTTTTACGATGAGAACAAAGTTTGAAGCTTAGCTGAATTTTGTCGTGTTGATCTGCATGCCAGCTTATTCATGAAAAAACTAGCCGTGGCGACAAAGTATGATACCTACTGAAAACCTATTCCAACCGTATATATATATATATATATATATATATATATATATATATATATATATATATATATATATATATATATTCTTTCCAGCTGCAGATTTTTCGTGAATTAGATTAATCATTGTTAACAAATTAAAAACAAATAATTAATAATTAAGTGATGGGGCATGCATAAGCCAACACGCTCCTCCAAAAAAACAAACAAATTCAAATATCAACAGTGGCTGACGCTCCACAGCTTACGTGGTTTAGTTGAATAACCTACCATAATAATAATTACTCTTTTTAAATTAGTTTTTCTTTTGCTAATTAATATTTCATCAAAAGACAATTACCCAACGAAAAAAAATAGAAATAATAAAAAATAAAATAAAGAATGATTATCCAGACTGGAAATTAAAGAAAGTTGTGCATAATTTCATGAGGATGGGTCCTCCACAGGAAAAAGGTGATAAGAAAGAAGCGGCATAAATTTTGAGTAAATAGTATTTGTGGGCGAAGACCATTTCATTAATAATATTTTAATTAATTAAGACTAATGTTTCTATCTTTTTTTAATTATTAATGCATTATTAATTAATTAAAATATAATGTAACTTGTCCTTAAATTAAATACAGGCTGCAGCCTACATACAGGGAAGCTAGCGCCTCTCTTTATATATTAGGTCATCGTTCTTATTGTTTTAGTTATTCCAAATAAATCTCAGATTTTCCAGTTAAACACATATTTATTAGCTCCTGCTCAAAACATGACGGTAATCTTTTCTTTCTTGATTCTGCAACCTAGTTTTGCTAGAATTTGTATATATGTATATATATATATATTTCCATTATATTTTTATTTTGATAAACAGACATGCACTTATGTTGATATATGTATTTTATGTACGTATTTATATGTATGTATATATGTACATGCTTTGGTCGATCTGTATGTATAATCAAGATGCATATACAAGGGTTTGTCTGTAACCAAGAGTTTTTGGCGGCCAAAGTAAAACTGCATGTATAAAAATCTACTAACAATTACAAGATCTCTGAATTCAAATTTTGTGTGCTGTTTAATTATTATTTTCTCTCTTCTAACTTACTTTTATGCTTACAAGTTTTATTTTCTAGCTAGGAATTAAGATGTTGAACTGTAAGTAATTAAAGTCCATAATGAAGATTATTATTGTCAATTGTGGGCAATCTCAAATCATAATTACATCATTAAACTTGTTTACTTTGTTTCAGATTGTGGAGTTGAGAGTGCACATGGACTGTCCTGGATGTGAGCGCAGAGTAACGAAAGCTCTTTCCAAATTAGACGGTATTACGAATTTGAAATATTGCCCTTTTTTCTTCACTAATTATTCAATTAAATGAACTAATAACTATTTGGTTGTGAAATAATTATTTAGGAGTGGACAATGTCGACATAGACATGAACATGCAAAAGGTAACGGTGACTGGACGGACCGATCAGAAAAAGGTCCTAAAAAAAGTAAGAAGCACCGGTCGTACGGCAGAGCTTTGGCCATTTCCGTACAACCCCGAGTACCACAGTTACTACAACCCAGACCCTAATTCCGGCTACACCGCCACTCCTAATTATTACACGGCTCAGCCATCTTCAAGGTACAACTATTATAAGCACGGGTACAACGGCCACCAACATGGCTACTATCAGCAGCCACCTTCCTCCGCAGTCATCAACGAACGAGCCTCCACCATGTTTAGTGACGATAATGCCACTGGCTGCTCTATAATGTAATCAAGCAAAGAAAGTAAATCACTGTGTGTTTGTGTGTGTGTTCACTTTACATATATGTATGAATCGATGCATGTGTGTTTGATTTACATGTTCGAATTTCCATCTCTTTCGTGTTTTGAGAATGTACAACAAAATTGCTTAGTTTAATACTCGTTTTTGGTCCATAAAATAGCTCCAAGATTGAATTTTTTAATTAACTTCCGAGGAGAATATATGGTGAGGAGTCTTGTTGATTCTCTTGTTGCTTTATGGTATCTGCAACATGAGCAACTACTCCTGCTCCGGCATTATGCAACCACTCGTTCTTCACCTGTTTTATCGAAGGCATAAGAAATAACGAATTAGAGCAATAAGACAAACAAACGGACAATGGTCATAAATGCGAAAATTTGCAGTCTTACGTTAATATTGTTGTGTGCAAAGAAGGGCCACAATGCTGAGTGGAAGCTGATATCAACTTTGGTCCATCCCAGTCTTTGTAAACCATCTATCATTTCCTCTGTAATAAGACAGCTGTCGTTTCGTGAGATAATCGGTCTGTAATAAGACAGCTGTCATTTTGTCGGAATTAAAACATATACCTTCCATAATCTCGTGATATTCTACGGTGTTCTGTGTAGTTGGTTCGTTTTGAGCTGCCTCCTTTGCTTTGGCTGCCTCTGGATGGAAATCCGAACTCTCGGATAAAACTGGCGGGCAGTACTCCAGATTAACGACATGTTGATAGCCATCCAATGATTGACTAGGAGGCTGCCATATTCAAATATCAGAAAATTCAACAATAATAATTCCAACATGATTGAAATTCGTCAAGATTAGTGGACCGTGGAACCATTTCTAAAGTGAACGAAGCCATAAACACTTTCTTTAGATTAGGATTTTTTCAATCAAGTATAACTTAAGTGAAGACTGACAATAAGAAATTTATAATTCATTGCATCTAAATAATTTTATTTGATCGTATCCAACAAGTATGATTTTTGAAGACATTCTAAAACAAAGATGACACGTAAATATGTAATTACCTTCATAAGTTCTGTTTCGCGTCTTATGGAGGCTGTGCGCCAACCGACCATATCTGGATTATGCTAAGAATCTTTATAACGCAACAGAGAAGAACTATTTCAGTAGTAACATTTCAATTCCAACTTAATGAGACTGGACATAAGGATACGGTCATAAGCAACATTAGCATAAAGAATTCGACATCTGAAACTGCCGAGCGCAGATCTGCAATGTAAACAAGCACAGTGGCTTATAATATAAGGCTGGCGGGAAAGTTGATTAAAGAACATGTTAACAGTCTAACAACTGTACTCACATGAACTTTCCCTCGTCACAATCTGAGGTCATCTGTAATAATAGAGGAGGTTTTTCGGGTTTCCCATCTGTGAGGAAGAGTTGACTGCCAGTTTGACCCGTAAAAACAGGGGCAATTGGTGCAGCAAGTTTTTCCAAGAAAGAGAAGCCCATAAGGAATGGAAGCTGAGTCATTAAAACAAAATTAAACGTCCGGAAATCAGATTCCAAATGACTGCCAATGATAGCTATTTGTTCTAAGCAAAATATTTTGAGTTTATTAATAAAATCACAGAAAAATAATTTATATATGAAATACGAGTTGATGTTGCCATTAGCAAAATATACCTGCTTATTCCCTCTTACTCCAAGATGAGGCGTGGCTAGGGTAATAAAATTAATTGCATCCAGACCAGCAATCGAGGACGTTTTGGAACTTGTAGAAGCCAAGTCAACTATATCATCAGGTTGATCAGAAGAGACGTTAGGCGAGTATAAAACAGCAACTGCATATCTTGCTATTAATCCACCCAGAGAATGAGCTAAGAAGGATATCTTTCTTAAGCTCTCCGTCTTTTTCACAACCTGCATAACCTATGTAAATCCAACGTAACAAATTTTAAAAAAATCACCGATTATTATTAGGAAAACCAATTACAAACACAAGGACAAAACATGCACAGACGGGAACCTTTAAAAAAAACTCACTTCATCAGCCAGTCGTTTACCAGCACCATCAACACCAGTGAAAGTCTTTGTGTACGTATTACAGGAACTTGCTGCACATAATAAGCAAGTTAATATATTGAATAAACTTGTCGGAAAGTTGACTATTTTCGCACAAATAGCAATACCATATATCAGGAAGTTTTTTCCTAGTTGCCTCTTCAACTCTGCTTCAAAGTATGTCCAGTCACTAGGGCTGCAATACTCGGAAACTTCAGTTAACTCTTAGTCACAGTAAATATCTACATGCATCCAAAAAATCCGTTATACGCTTTGGTGTATGATTTACGAAGTTCGTTCCTTCAAACTAAATCGTTGAAGGAATTTTCGCTTTTTCATAGTTATAATTTATAAATCACTGAATGAGGTCAAAAACGATGACCTTGAATGAAAGGGTTCTCCAGATGATCTAATCTATGAACAAGGCAAAGATATTTCACGTACAGGAAATCGAGAATTAAACATACCTCCCCATGATGCCATGTACAAGAACAACAAGATGGTCCGGTTTATCGTCCACATTAATCATGACCGTCGGAGACGAAACATTTCCTTGAGTCATACTCATTGATTGAGCTTTCAGGCTTTGGCACTTCCAAATATTCTTTACGACTGCAAAGTGCCGGTAAACCCTCGGATTAAAAATCTCGAAAAGCTATCAAGTATTAAAGTGACTACAATCTACATTACTGGGAGCTATCTGATTATACATACAGAATGCATAGAGTTAAACTAATGTGGTGCATCTTCAATAACATTGTATTCATAGTAGGCATTCAACTCATCGTCAAGTTTCTACAATATCTTAAAAACCCCAAATTGTTAGATAAAAACAAAAAGGCGAATCAAATAATCGAAGTACCAAACCACACAAATTCCATAACCCTCCTTCATAATGATTTCGGAATAGTACAAAATCTCAGCCGTATACAATAATTTAGTATCAAACATACGCATCGGAAAACAGAATTGAGGAATTCACCGTTGATGAAGGAAACCAAAAAAAAAAAAGAAGAGAGCGAGTGGTTGGTTACCGGAGAAAGCTATGAAATTCCAGTTATGCCCTGCGCGAAAACACGACGAGTTGGAATAGAAAGAGGAAGGGAAATGGGAGCAGGAATTCGAAGAAAACGACGTCGGATTGTTCGAATTCGTGTTCCGATTACGGAGAAATTGAGAACCAGAATAAAATAGAGGAGGTGGGGATGCCATTTGTATGCGCCATTTATAGCTAATTTAAAGTAATAAATAAGGCAGCACGTTCTGTTCTACTCTGTGTTCGGTGGTTAGTCCATTGTTATTTGACCACAGCTGTCTACGTCAGCATTCAAACCTGGGTCGTTTTAATCCTGTGGTGCGCCAGTGCACCATAACGCGTGGTCTGCTCGTGCTCTGCCGCTGATCTAATGAAACTTAAAATTTACTGTTGGGCTGGAAATTCTTGTAATTATTCTTGTGGCCCAAACATTTGGGCTATTTCTCAGTTGATGGGCTTTTACAAAATAATATTATTGGGGGTTCAAATAAGAACATTTTATAATTAAAAATTATATTATATAGGGTAAATTACAACCATCCCTAAGGTATGGTTAAACTACAAAACCCCCCTCTTGTTTGGGTAATTACAACCACCCCTTTGCGGTTTCAAATTTAGTAGAATCTTCGAGATTATATGGAATATTATCACTTTTGCACCCGATTTATCGAGTTCGAACTCCACATTTTGAAGCAAGATGATCATAATTTGTGTTTTTTGGCTTGTATATATCAGAATGTGGTGCATCAGAAAACTGTATTTTTACACAAAACGATGACAAACTAGAGCACATTCCACGAAATCTAGATGATTATGTTGAATTTGACACCACAAGGGTAAAGATGTAAGAAACAATCATAGTTGAGAGGAGCAGATGTAATTATCCAAATAATGGGGTTTTTTTCGTAAATTGACCATACCTCAGGGGTGGTTATAATTTACCCTATTATATATACTAATTATTAATACCAACATTATGTTTTAATTAAATAATAGATCAAATATTACTAAATCATCAACTGGTACAGGGTGTATGTACATTGTACAGCAAGAAGCGTAACCTAGGAACTAGGAGACAAACTGGAAAGATGAATTAACGACTTTAATTTTCGGCGGCGGCGAATCTCCTCCTCTTCGCCGGAAAACAATGACCAAAACCGCCGCGCTCCAAATGCACTCTGTCAAAATCCAAATGCTGCAGAACGCCGGGGGCGGTGGCGGCGGCGGATGCGTCATAGAAGCAGCCCTGATCAGAGAGTAGGCCACCAGGGAACGGCGGCTTAATTTTGCGGCGACCAGCTCCGACGGGAACGTTGCGGAGAGCGCCGCCGGCAGTCCAGTACCTCTGGCAGGACTTGCAGAAGTGCCTGGGCTGATTAACGTTGTAATTGTTGAAATAACAAAATTTGGTCTCCATGCTCTTGCATCTGGGGCACGGGATTATCTTTTCCGGCCTCTTTTCCACCGTCCGATCTTCTTCCTCATTGTTTGTTGATGATCTTTCTTTCACACAAATTGTAGCCCCAAACAACTTTATCCCTGATGATCTTTCTTCTACCTGATCACCCATTCTATTTATTTATCTAATTAATAATTATATATATCCCGGAGAAATAGGATGACGGATTGTGCAGGAATTTGTGTTTAATGATGTTCTATTATGGGGTGTTGTTATCACTACAACAAAAATGCCTTTTCGAGATGTATACATATGTCTCAATATATACCATTTTGAGGCACTTTTACTTCTAGGGGCATTTAAAACATATGTCGCATAGTTGTGTGTTGCGTTAGCTCGTGAGGCATTATTTATATGTCCCAATAGAATTTTCCTTTTAAGACTTTTATATGTGTCTCGATAAAGTAGTTTTGAGGCACACATATAAGCCTTATAAGAATGTTAATATTTATGTACAATTTTTTTATGGGACACTTACTTTAGTATGAGGATATTTATATATGTCCGTAAAAATGTATAATAGGATATTTATAAGTGTCTTTATATATATTTATACGGGCATCACTAATTGCCTCATAAAACTTTTCTGGGGACATTTGTTACAAAATTGAATTGGCTTTTTAAGACACTTACAAATGTCCTAACAAACATTTTAGGGCACTAAAAATTATAATATATACACGTGTCCTAACTAATTCTTAGTACACCTTCATATAGAAAATTAACGCAAAGCAATATTTAAAAAAAATATATCAAACATAATAAAATTAATTGCTAAACATCATTCATAAGTTTCATCTGCATTTCATCAAACGAATAGTCAAAAAAAAATAGTATTTTAAAAAAACTTCAAAAACTATTCATAAAAACTAAAACAAATCTCCCAAAGACTATCTAACAGGATCAAGTCAGAATTCTTGAACATAAACCTAAAATGTCGAAGTAGCAACATTGATTTTCTATGAAAAAAATAATTACCTATTATTCTAAAATCTAGACTAAAAACTCAAAAGGAAGCTCATTCATACTTCAGACTGCATCACACATGAAACTCACCATCCAAAGCGACCTACATGCACCAAAATATACATTAATTAGAAATAGAAAATCAAATTAAAAACACAATAATGTATATTAATTGGATCATATATGTCTAGATGCTTGAACCAACCATATAAATCACAGATAAACAATAAGTATCTGTGAAGAAACAAAAATTATCAAGAGCTATAACACTATGTACACCCATATTTCTTATAATAAATAGCATACACATATTTATGATGATATCAATACACAGTCCTTGTAAAATTTCTTGAATAAGTACCTCTTTGAAAACACAAAATACATTCATGAAAGCTAGTCCTTTAAATCATCCACATAAGTAACTCATATAGTAAGACAAACATAATAAAATATTTAATCTTATTGAAATAAGGACATACCAATGATAATGGCCAAGCAACGGGTACTCCAAGAGCACTTCCAATTGTTTGAATATGATTGTGAGGGAAAATTAATCTTGCATCTTTTTTCACTTGGTATTGAATGACAACTTTACAAAAATCGGTGCCCAAATCGATACCATTAACTCTAACATTTTCCATCTCGTCCACAATACCTGTTGCAACTATCTCATTGATATTTGGAAGACTTTTAAACAACAGATGAGCCAACCTGTAAATAATTTTTTTTAATAATTAGTGCATCAGTTGTTATTTAATTTATATATATGTATAGCAGTTACATGTTTTAGTTGTATTACCTTGATACTATCTGAATGTGATGCTGCTGCAAATGATATTTGATTGTCCAGTGAAGTTTGAGCATCAACCTGCCCACTTGAAAATGAACTTGGAACATATACCGAATCATATTGTCCATGTGGGCTTGTAGTTCAGCATTTTCTGGAGCTGTGAGTTGAGAATTTGTAGGAGCTTGCTGATTTGGAGATGCAAGGGAAGCACTTTCAACATGAGGTTGGCCAGTACCATTTAGTTTATTTACTAATGTGGATAGATCATCATATTTTGCATTCAACTCCATATATTTTGTTTTGTACTCCATGGCATGCCTAAAAAGTGTAGCACGACTAGCCTTGTCTCCATAAACATCAGTGAGTGTTACTCCCAACCCATACATACGCAGTTGTCTATCCTTATCCTTACCCAATACTTTCGCAAATGAATCGTCGGGATTATAAGTTGCTTGGTCGTCATTTGAATTTTCAAAGTCTTGAAGATCTAGTTCTTTCATTTTATCCTGAGATAGCTAAATTGTGAGACAAGTAAACTATATATAAATAATAATATTGCTTACACCTTATGTACTTGCATATAGAAATGTCAGAATTAATACTTACAACTTTTCCTTTTATTTTCTGACTTTTAGCTGAACCATCATCGCTTTTCTGCCAGATTAGGACCTCGAGATAAGGCTCTAAGTTCTTTAGAAACCTCATTTCCAGCAAGACATAATTCTTCAACCTGCTTGATATAATTTCGTATTAAAAAATAGCTACAAACTAGTATTTGAATAGCTTAAATATAACATCCATCAGAATTGTATCATATATTAACTTACATGATTATATAGCCAGCCAGCAAAAGTTTCACTATGAATTCTTTCAACGTCTTTCCTACTAAGACGACGATTTGCCGCTTCAACTAAAGCTTTGTGTTTTCTGCATAAAGCTTAAACATAAATCATAAGAATATATGGCAGTTAAAATTAAGCTAATACAATTACGTTTGAAAATATCTTACGCAATGAAGGGTTCAGTTTCGCTGCAGTTGAATACAACATATTGATGTGCCTTGGTTGTTATTTCCTTGCCCAAAACTACACAACTTCTTCTTCCAACATGACGCCCCGTATTAGAAAAGATTGGGAATTCTAATGTACTCTCACCACTAACATCATCATTTCTATGAACTTTATTAAACTTAGTCTCCACGTCCTCTAAGTATCTAGAACAAAAGGTTAAGCATTCTTCCATCAAATATCCTTCAGCAATTGAACCCTGAGGACGACTACGATTGCGCATGTATGATTTTAATGTTGACAAATACCTGAATTATAATACATAAAATATATTATAATACATAAAATAATTATACCTGAATAATTTTATAGAAGTGAAGTAACAACATAAATAAAATTACCTTTCAATAGGATACATCCAATGGTAATGCACGGGTCCTCCAAGCCGAGCCTCGTATGCCAAATGAATCGTCAAATGAACCATTATATCAAAAAAAAAAGATGGTGGAAATATCTTCTCCAACTCACAAAGAGTTTTGCTAATTTCTTCTTCAAGATGAATTAAATCTTGAGAATTAAGAACTTTGGAACAAATCCCTACTAAAGCAAAATAGAACAAGTCAACTAATTACACAGTGATCACAAGCAAAATGTAATAAAGGTCCATCAAAAGTTTAGATTACTCTACAAAAATTATTACTGGATAAGGATTATTTTTTTAATGACACACATCAAAGCACTTATGGGTATTCGCCCAAGTAGTCGACGCAATTTTTTTACGAGAACATTAGTTTTATTCATATTAGTGGAGATGATGAATTACCCAATCCAACTATCTCTAATTAGAAAAATCCATTATAGTTTAAATAAAGATAAATTGAAATATGAAAATCTCTTAAATCTGCCCCTTCAAAATTTTATCTCTCGTTAGTGTCTTGATTCTACTAAATAATATTTTCAATTAAACATAATCGATTTCTTCCTGGTTATGTACCTCATCTGATTCATCTACTAAGTGGAATAGATTTTATTTATTTTTTCTTACTTGCCCTTTCTCTCAACTAAATATAATCAAAGTATTGTGGGTGTACTACATACACCATTGCCACCCAAACGCACATGAGTTTTGCAATGAGATATTTCATATGAGAAAATAAAAGTGAAATAAACAAAAATCCAATTATCACCCAATTCGGAAGATTTAAAAAAACGAGGAATAAATAAAAATTAGATGAGAAATACACAAATTGAAATCCACCCAAACACAAAGAATAAATTGAAAACAACAAATAATTAAAATCCACAAATAACTATGTCATATACGCATCCAAAAAATTGAAATCCACCCAAACAACATAAATTGAATCCAAACATGCAAATAATTGATAAGAGAAAAGAGCACATACCTTGAGAAGAGAGCCGTCGGTGAAGCCCTAGCTAGCCGAGAAACCAATTTCCCCAAAATCTGTAGATTATTAAGTGGCGTCGAGAATTTGTGGAAAAATAGGGAAAAATACGTGGGTGCTATGGAAGAAGTGGAGGGAGAAAAGGGAAGAGGCAAAATTCCATTATTGTTTTTGCCGATTAATTGATAAATAAATATATTACCTTTTAAATGCCCTAATAAGTCTAATTTTTGGGACACAATATAATTAGTGCCCTAATATATCGTCCTACTATTTTATACCAATTTTTTTGAATTTTAAATGCCCCAATAAATTTTATTTTTGGGGCACAATGTAACTAGTGTCCTAATTTGTCATTATATTACGAATAATAAAATAATTTACATTTTAAGTGCCTCAAAAAATTATAATTTCGGGACATAATTTAATTATTGTCCCAATATTTTACTTTTTGGGATACATGGTAAAAATTGTCCCAAACAAAATGTCGTAATATATATCTTTTGTTGTAGTGTATATATATATATATATATATATATATATATATAGAGAGAGAGAGAGAGAGAGAGAGAGAGAGAGAGAGAGAGAGAGAGAGAGAATTGAGATTAAATTAAATGAATGAAGGCCGCCATGGCAGAAGCAAAGCCTCCAAAAGTTGATGCTGAACTTTTTGTCCACATCATAATGATAGTCCACGTCAATTAATAAACTTTGTTTTAGTTTGAAAGTCTATAAAGTGGGTCCCAGTCCAGGTAGATTGAGTACAAAGTGTACAAAAGTGGGAGCATAAAGATAAAGATTACTAAAGATTTCCAACACCAAAAGTTGTTTTAATTACTTTTATTTAATTAAGTAATTAATTTACATGAAATCCACTTGCTTTTATTTATTTATTTAATTACATGGTATTTTATCAAGGATGACTATATATAGTTGACGCAG